CTTTCATATTAAGTAGAACAACAAATTCTACGCTTCAATATCACACACAAACACATAACTCAGTTCTGACTGCATTTCTAAACATCACTTATTTTTGAGTCTTCGACACAGTAATCGTCAAAGTTACTTTTGAAAAATGTGGTGTCTTTATAGAAACTTTGTATAACTCTTTATACAAAGAGATATACAAAGGGGGGCAACTGTAGACACCACATTTTGTCCGGGATAATTGTTTTACTGAAAATAATTATTATAACGTCGTACTACGATTATATTTAAAAAGGAAGCTGAAGATTGTTTGGTTGAGACTAGCAGTTGCAAGTCAATATGAACCAACAATTATCAAATTTGCTCCAAGTTGATTTTAGGGCATAATTGGTTAAGATAGAATTAATTTGAGATAAGATTAGCAGTGGCAAATCTTAAACATCAATTCTAAAAATAATAGAGGTTCGAAGCTTGAGGTTCGAAAATGGGCGTAATAGATGAAATGGAGGCTGAAGCTTTGTAGTTAAATTTGACACATGGTACAAAGTATGAACTAAAATTAATTACAATGACTGCCTGTTACTAATAACAACAACAAAATTTGAAGTTTGAACACCATTTCAAACTAGGCCGACTAATCAATTAAAATCATTGGGCCCATTTTCTCCTCTCTTTGAGCCCAGATCAGATCACTAACCTGCATAATGAAAAAGAAAATGATCAGAATACAACCCAAAACAGAGCCCAATTCGGCCCAAAACAGAGCCCAGGTTCAAGACTAGACCTAGCCCTGTATCGGCCCAAACGAATTCAAGGCCCAACTTGGCCCAATCTCATCCAGGCAGTTAGTCAGCACCGACTTTCTAGGTGGAGGCTTGAGAAGCAGCCTTGAGAATCAACCAATCAGAGAGGAGCATGACATGCTCATCATCAATCACAGACTAAGCAAGGTGGAGGCTTGAGAAGCAGCCTTGAGGATCAACCAATCAGAGACAAGCATGTCATGCTCATCATCAATCGCAGCATGACACGTGGCAGGCAATTCTTGCTATAAATGAGCTCTTTGGGCTCTGTGTTGGGGGGGACGAATGGGAGAAGAAAGAAACACTCTACAAAAAGTGAAATATTTACATTCCAAACAGTTTTTTTTTTCGGTTCTTGCTCTTAGCCGAAGTTCATTGGAGGGAACTGCGAGATTGGAGGAGCATATTTGAAGACTGACGCAGGAAAAGGCCATTCTTAGGCCTAGAAATTCAGGTTGGTACTAGTATCAATTTCCATCTTTCATTTTTTATCAAGTCCATACAATCATTATGATGTTATAATAGTCCATCTATTTGCGTATTTACATTCAAGCATTTTAATTTACAAGCTATTCATAATCAAGCGCTTTATTTACCAAGATCTGCTCATAGTGATGGCATTAAGCTTCTTTCAATTTAGCACTTGTTTACTTTTCTCATCAATTGATAGTCTCTATTACAATCTTATACTATGCCGTCATATTTACTGTTAGCATAATAGTTGATAAACACTAGATCATCATAAACAAAACAAACAAAATCAAATCCAAATCTATGGCAACGAAAAAGACAAAAATTTCGATTCACAAACTTTTACCAGTTCTTTAATCAATCAAAAATCATACATATAATAAAATCACAAACACAAACAGTGATTAGTGGTCAACATTTTAGCAAATCACAGGCAGAGGCTGTGATTTATATTCGTCAAGGTTAGCATTTTAGAACATGTTAATTACTTCTCATTAAAGAAAATTCCTTTCTTTGCAAATTTTTGCATATCGAGAGTCACATCTAAAAGCAATCCATCATCCGCTTTTTCTTAGCTAAACCCCTTTAGCATACGAGAATCAGAGTTTAGGGAACCTTACCCAGATCTGGCCTTTGTATTTTTACCTGCAAAAAGAAAGAATAAAGGATCAGAAGAAACCCAAATTGAAGTAAACGAAAATTGAACAGGAAAGCAAACCCATAAAGGACTTACCCCAAACAAAACCCTCGCCGTCGGCTCTGGCGCTGGTCGCGCCGCCGGCGACCGCCGCCCTTCCCTTCCTTCCCTCAGCGGAAGTCCGAAATCAAGAACAAGAAGAAAAAAAAACAAGTCAAATCCCAATCTTGTTTGTTAAAATGAATAAAAAAAGGACATGCATGTAAAATGGAGCTTACCTGAGGGTACAACCTCCTCGTCGTCACCTCTATTCCAACTAGAAAGGGTAGAACGAGATTAGTAGAAGGTAAATCGAGACCCCCTCCTCGGTTTTAGATCGATCTCCGAAAGAGAAACAAGAAAAAGGGTTAGAATCTCGATCAAAAACCCAGAAATAAAAAAAACAAACTTGCATGCAATGATCTTACCTACATCGAAGGTCTCCCGCTCGATCTTTTAGCAACCTTCGTCATATCGAGGGCCGAGAGAAGAGAGCGGCGGCGGTTTTGAGCGAGGCTAGGGTTTGTTTTCTCTGAACGAGAGAGAGAGAGACGAGGGACGAGAGGAGAGAGAGGCGGCGGTTTTGGATCAGGGGTTAGGGTTTGTTGGTCTCTGGCCGAGAGAGAGGGAGAGAGTTTGAGCGGCGGCCGCTAGGTCAAATAGTATAGGGTCTGATTTTGTGCTGTAAGAGACTATATATACCTCAAGTTTCGAAATGACCAAATTGCCTCTAGGGTTTCCGTCTATTTACGCGTCCCTGCCACCGCGTTTTCGTGAAAATACTAGAATGCCCTTCCCCCTTTTCTACATCAAAACGAGAAATAAAAAATTCCTCCACCAGCGCGCTTCGAACCCGCGACCTAGGGGTCAAACGCGAGCCTGGTCTGGCGTTTCAGCCAGTTGGGCTACCGGCCCATAATGGATTTATGTAGTCATCCCATTTCACTTTTAGTTGTTTTAAAAATCCTTAATACGAAATATGAAATGCGGATTAAGTTTGTCTCATTTCTTTTTCTAATACACCAAGATACACCCTAATAATTAAAATTCTAATAATAATCCATCTAAATTTTAACAATAAAATTCTATTACGAGAATTACGTTCAGTGGAACGTGGTTACATTTAAATTATCAAAGTCACGAACGAACTACGTGGACTTTGATCCCGTCTAACGGGTACGTAGGCAACCGATAAGGTTCGAGTCCAACTAACCAACAAACTTTATATTTAAGTTGTACGTCAGTGGGCGTATAATAAAATCATAAATTGATAATGTTAAACTCTTTAGCGGTCCAGAGGGACCCTACAAATACCAATAATTACTAAAAACACCCAACTCGAATAAAACTTATCAAACTTAAGTAGTACCGATTTAGGGCGTTGTGGGGTGTGATTTCACTTCCCCACACGTAACCGTACTCCCGAACCCAGAACTCTATTTTCGCAGACCAATTCTCGGTTCTGGCCCTAAGGTCAGAGCCAACCGACGAGTGTTCGATCCACTCCAAGTAAGATCGATGGCGACTCCCAAAAAATGCCGACGCGACGACATCGGACCCCCGGAGGGACGGTTGCGACACCTGGATATGTGTACGATTACAGTACCCTATGGGTTGATGAAACGGTAATATTATTATCTAATAATTTTTACTTTTCTTCTCCGTCTCCTGGCTAATCATATGTTGGAAGATTCATTACATTGATGACTTTCTCTATTCTTAGGGGATGCTCATCCATGGTCTTAGTGATCGGAATTTTGCTGGCCACCTGGAGTCCAAACTCAGTACTGGTTCTGTATATTGTATAAAGGAATTTATAACAAGGCCAGCCAAAGAACTCTACAGACCATGCATGAACAACATATGTATCTCCATTGTCCCAGCAACAGACTTTGAAGATGTTACTGCCTTTGCTACAGATTTTGTCTCAGACAGCTTCGACTTCTGCCAATTCGAGTCTTTGCGAAATCGTGCAGGAATAAATACAATATTGACAGGTAGGATGTACTGTGCTTATGCTCTCTTAAACTATGTGTGATATTGATACTTGCCTTTCCTAATAAACTATGTGTGATAATGCACTTGCCTTTCCTAATAAACAGATGTTGTTGGCTGGCTGAGTTCAATCAGTGAGATTGACCACAAAATTACTCAACATGGGACCGCACCTCACCAAAAATTAGTTCTGAAAAATGAAAGGTATTTTGTCAGTTTTGTTTTTGTGAATCAATATATCTTAGATCTAACCCATCTTTGTATAATAAAGGGGAGCCGAATTGTCAATTGCTTTGTGGGGGGAATTAGCATATAAGCTTAGTGCTACTCAACTGATTCAGGATGCTCTAACGGCACCTGTAATAATTGCTATTGGTGGACTTACTATATCATCTTTTCGAGGTACGCATTCCTATTACTAGAGAAACTTCTTTTGGTCTGAAATATCGTTGTGATGGAATCATTGTCATGCAATTTCATATATGTTAACATTTTGATAATTAAATTTGAAGATCAAGTTGGAGCATCAAGTTGTTCTGCTACCCGCATAATCTTGAACCCCCAAACAATAGATGGCGGCAGCTTCCACCCTTATTCCAGTGATGATTTCGGCGGCCTGATTAAAGCGTATATTTCTGTTCACATCCCACTATAATTTTATATTTTAATTTACTTATACTTACACTTTGCCATGACCAGTGCTAAGAATGCTTCCGGAATAGTATCTTCGATAGCTGTCACTCATGACACCGCCGAGAAAGCAGCAAAACATCTGGAGGAATCAAAGAGAAACTTGAGCGAACTCATAAATCTATGCGCAGAGAAGGATTCATTGGTATTTGATTATTATTATTATTATTATTGTTGTTAGCTTTCTAATCTGTCATATACTTTAATTCAAATGCTTCCCAGACTTATTATCTATACTCTATAATAACATAAATTCTCACTCTGTACTATAGAATACCAATTATATTTGCCAAGCAACAGTGACTGCTATAAAATCTCAGAGAAAATGGGGATATCGAGGCTGCAAATCATGCTATCAATCAGTTACTAATTGTGGATCAGATTATTGGTGTAAGAAGCATTACCAGATACCCGCTTCTGAAACCAAATATTGGTATGAAACTTACAACTTGCAAATGTTGTATAATCTTACCAAGATTGCATGATATTTCTCATTGTTATTCATTATAATGACTTTTAATTGCAATTAGCAATTGACCATTGACCACTGATACTTATACCATTATTGATTTATAGGTATCGAATCAGGCTAATTGTGCATGATGGTAATGATCAAGCAACGTTCCTTCTCATAGGAGCATCTGCAGACAAATTCCTACCACGCACAGCTTCAGAAGTTAATGAAATCTACCCGGATGGAACTGGAATATTACCACCTGATATTGAAGCTCTAGCTGGTCATAACTTGGAATTTGAGATCCAACTTCCCAAAGAAAACAACAATGGTGTTGTAGGCGACTTCATAGTCACTAGCATCAAGGGACTTCCCCATCAAACTGGAAAAACGGGAAAACAAAGCCTACTGAAATCAGAATTCTCAAACAGGTGCGTTACACTAGGATATATTATTATTATTAGAGTTGTTACACTATTCCTATAATTTTGTCTAAATAATATCTTATAACTCCAAATGCATTTTAGGCCATTGCAAATTGAATCACATGCAAAGCCAATATCAAATGCTGGCTTCCCATTACTTGAAGCAAGTGAAATTAAAAAAGAAGACGATAAAGGGTACAGTCTTATCATCTTTGCCTTATTTACGTAAAAGTATGTAGATTCATTCAAGCAACTTCATTCCTTCGGCCGTGCATATTATTAAATTATTCATAATAAAAGCCTATAAATTACAACGACAGGAACAATGCAGTTACTTCAAGTGCCAACAAGGAAAGGAAAGCAGCCCCAAGAGTTAATGCATCCAAAAGAAGTGGGAAAAAGGTAATCATCTGTACAATCATTCTCAAAACTTAAAGCAAATTGCACCGAGATGGTTCTTATCATTGAATTCTAATAATGTCATATATGGTGTACATATTGTAAAATTAATTAGGACAACCCAAACACCTGCGAGGAAGGTAAATGGAGTCAACAATGTTGACTCAGCATCCTCTGACGATGAACAATGTTTGTCTAAGCTGCTGCAAAACACCAAAAGAAGCAAAAGTAACCAATCTGCAGATGACAAAGACAACAAAGAAACTCTAAACACCAGGAAAACTCGGTACAAAATCTGAGTTTTTCTAATCAATGAATTACATTTTGGTATTGTCTAGGGATGCAATATTATATCATTCTAATACAAGTTATTGTTCGGTGCAGTACATGCACAACAAAGACTGGGACAAAAAAGGCCAAAGCTGCTTCGGTCGAAACAGATGCAGAGCACATAGTTGTCGAAGTTGGAGTGAAGAAAACCAAAAGTTGCAGTGCTTTGACGGATTCAGTTCCTAAAGATCCACCAACTTCTACTGAAGTTAAGGCGAAACGCAAGCGTCAGTCGGTGAAAAAATATGCTCAAGCTTAGGGATGGAATGCTTCGGCTTAAGAAATGAGAACTCAAACCAGTTTACTTAGTGTTGCAATTTTAATGTTTTTTTTCTGATAAACATATTTCAGTACCTCTGGAACAATTTGGTTATATGGTTTGGAAACTCTGCTTTTGATTCGGCCTCTTATAAATACAATTTTATCAATTTCTGTCAGTTTGGGAAAGGTATATATTTATTAGCTTAATCACAAAGGATTCATTCAACAGATGCATTGTATACTTGATCGTTCATAGACAGAAAAATGAAAGACAACAACTAGATCTTTTTTATTTGGATACCACCTGCCACAATCTTGCTGCGTTCCAATCCCTACTCCCCTCCCCTTTTTCGTAATCTAAAGAGCAAAGTGCATTTATAACAAATGTAAAAGAATTCACAAGTCTCATACACTCTAAGCCCACGAGTAAAACCTAGAAAAACATAACTTCATCACGATACAACAAATTCTGAGTTCTGTTAGTTCCTTCTCTGTTACGAACTTTCTGCACAAGAACTTCATCCACTCTTCCGTCATATCTGCAAACCTATAACAAACAAACCTTTTCATTAAATGTAAAGCTCCACCCCAGTCAAGCAAAGATCGTATTTAAATTCACAGAATAAACAATTATAAAAAAGCAACTTCTCCTTTAAGTTGTAGGAAAACACAAATCGTCAACAAAACAAACAAGGAAAAGGACATCCCATTCAACTCCTCTTCTGAAAAGGCAGAACAACCTTCTAGCTCAAAGATCTCCTCTATAAAACAAATCAACAGGCACCCAAATAAGGCACAACCATTAACTCTTCTCAGCAGCTCATACTTTTTCAGATCAAGACAGAATACTCACAAGCAGCACCGCCAAGCACCATCTACCACTCCCATGGTAACACCTGCAGTCCGGAAACGCCGCATCACTAAACCACAAGCATCAGATGGAATTCAAGAACCACCAAAACGAAGAAAATCAGGAATCGACAGGCGATCAAGAATGTTTTCTTATGCATCCATGAATCCCTTACAGAGCATACAAAATACACCAACCACTATGTTTATGGATACAGAGAGTTACAATACAGAAGATATACCAGCACGAGAAATACACACTGAAAGTCAGCATACAACAGAAACAGTCTCAAACGAAGAACTGCCAGCCGAAATTGAAGAACCAGAACTTTCATCTCCTTTGCCACCCACACTAAATAATAACATCCTCGATTTGGGACTACCAACTCTGGCTTGCACACATTGTGGTGCACGATTTTGGCCGCACGAACAACTTAATTACAATAGGCGAAGCAGCACAGCGATTTTCACATTGTGCTGTCAACGAGGCAGGATTCGATTGCCTCTTCTTAAGCCAACACCGCCGTATCTGGATAAGCTTCTGGATGTTAAGGGAGATCAAATGGCAACACATTTTGCAAAACATCGTAGACCATACAATGCAGCATTCTCATTCACATCAATTGGAGCACAAATTGATACAAGACTAATGAATTCAAGAGGTCCTTTTTCATTAGTAATATGTGGTGAGAACTATCATCGCATTGGCTCTTTGTTGCCGCCTATTGGACAAAGACCAAAATTTGCACAACTGTATGTTTTCGATCCATCCACCGAAGTTCAAGACAGAATGGCAAACTTCTCAAGCAACGATAACATTTTGCTTCCAGATATTGTACAAGGCTTGATCGAGATGTTCGACGAGACAAATGAGTTGGTAAAAAGTTTCAGAAGATTAAGGCCCCAGTTACAAGATCCTACAACAGAGAATTTACGTCTGAGGATTGTAGGAGCTCGAGTAAAGGGTGCGGAACAATATGAATTGCCAACCGGCCAAGAGCTTGCTGGACTTATCCCTGGAGATTTTTGCCCAGATAAACATGACAGAGACATTATTGTCAACCACAGAAGCGAGGGCCTACAACGAATATCGAGTTTGAACCCCAAATTCGACGCACTACATTTCCCTCTATTATTTCCTTATGGGGAAGATGGCTACCATACAGGAATAACATATGTAGAAGAAGCAAGCAACCCATTGGCAAAGAGGAAGTGTATAACTCAGCGAGAGTACTATTCATTCCGTCTGCAACATCGCGATAATGAAGGGACTACACTAATCAGGGGCGGGAAGGTTTTGCAACATTATATTATAGATGCATTCTCTTCGATTGAACAAAACCGACTTTTCTTCATCAGAAAAAACCAAGATATATTGCGCTCGGAAATATACCAAGGACTCTATGACGCATTTCATGCAGGTGAAGAAACGGGCAAAAATTTGGGAAGGATTATAATACCATCTTCATATACAGGTGGCCCACGATATATGAAACAGCTATACCTTGACGCTATGGCTCTTTGTCAATATTTTGGAAACCCAGACCTTTTCATTACATTTACATGCAATGCTCAGTGGCCCGAAATAGTACATGCATTTGAAGACACAGTCGGCAAGCGAGGCGAAGATAAGACCCACATAGTGGCACGTGTCTTCAAAATGAAATTGCGAGCATTGAGAGAGCGCATCATCAAGGAAAGATTCTTCGGCCAAGTTGTTGCAGGTAACAACAACAATTACATAATTAAATGATCTTGCTTCAACTCTATCAATCTGATCTTTTATATGACTATGCATTATAATCGTATTCAAACATATTGATTAGAGAACAACAACTATGTCAAAGGTTGCCTTTGCTGTTGCCTTGCTTAAACGTTTAAAAGCAATCCATTTGCTACTTATTGCTTATCAATCAATTTACATATTCATTATCTCAAAATGGCATCTACACCATTTATTATATGTTCAAGTAAAGAAGAAAATTCAAACGAAAAACCATGTCAATGCAAAGCTTATAACCAAATGCATTTTAATTTTGCTTATTTATCTTTTGACAGCATGTTAGTTCTTATGCTGAGTTAGTGTGCGTGTAAATATCTTTGCTAAATGGACTTTTAATACAAATCAGCCTACACAGATATTTGGTAGGAATAACAACATACTAATTCTTATTCTAATGTCTTTGTAACAGATTTACATACTGTGGAATTTCAAAAACGGGGACTCCCTCATGTGCACATTCTGTTGTGGCTAGCAGAGACAGATAAACCCAAGGAAATCGCAGACATAGATAGAATAATCAGCAGTGAGATACCCGACCCGACAATAGATCCAGTTGGTTATGAAGCCGTTACACGGTTTATGATGCATGGTCCATGTGGGCAATCCAATAATTCATCACCGTGCATGAAAGATGGTCGCTGCTCAAAGCATTTTCCAAAAGCTTTTGCATCTGAGACCACATATGATCAATTCGGTTACATCGTGTACAAAAGGAGGGACACCGGAATTACGGTGGAGAAGGGAGGAACAAAACTTGACAACAAATACGTAGTACCATACAACAGAGAACTCTTGGTATGGTTGCAAGCACATATCAACGTCGAGATTTGTCACAAAGGAAGGCTAATCAAATACCTATTCAAATACCTCACGAAAGGACCGGATAGATCTGTTGTCGAAGCTACAAACCAATCGAGCAGTTCAACAGATGTACAACATCCAGTAGATGAAATTAAGCAGTATCTTGACTGTCGTTATCTGTCATCATATGAGGCAGCGTGGAGGATCTATGAGTTCCCAATACATGAAAGAAACCCCTCAGTACTAAGACTATGCGTGCATCTCAAAGATCAACAAATGGTCCCTTACAGAGAGCAACAGACTTTGGAAGAGATAGTGGAAAATAGTGGTGCGGAGAACACCATGTTGACCCAGTGGTTCATCCTAAACTCAACCAATCCAGCGGCTAGAACACTTACCTACGCCGAGATACCGAACAAATACATATGGGACTGGAGAAAGCGGGATTGGTTTGCTAGGAAACGAGGATTTCAGATTGGCAGAATCGTGTATGTACCGCCAGGTTCCGGGGATGTTGTCTACTTGAGAATGCTGCTAACAAAAGTTCGAGGTGCTTTGAGCTTCGACGATCTTCGAACTGTCAACGGCGTCCGCTGTCGCACATACAAAATAGCATGCCAAAAACTAGGCTTGCTTTCATCGGATGAAGAGTGGGCATTGGTCCTAGAAGAAATCTGCAAATGGGGTCATCCCTCTCTAATCAGGACTACTTTTATTTCAATGTTGATGTTCTGTGAAATCACAGAGCCTTTAACTTTGTTTGAAAAATTCTGGGAACAAATGGCAGATGACATAGCATATCAAGCAAGGCGAGAAAGCTCTTCCAGATACTTCGAGCCCCCATCGAGCTCTTTGAGAAACTCAGTTTTGCTTGAGCTACAACGACTGCTGAGTTATTACTCCACCACATTACAACACTTCGGCCTACCTTCTCCAGATTTGAATGCCTGCGACACGTCTCTCAACAGTCTCATAACCGAACAGCTCGATTACGATATCAGAGAACAGAGTACGCGTGCATCAAGAAACTTAGAATCACTCAATCAAAATCAAAGGAACGCTTATAATGCCGTTTTCGATTCAGTGAGCTCTGAACAAGGGTCGTTGTTCTTCTTACATGGACATGGCGGGACAGGCAAGACTTTCTTATATGATACAATAATTGCCAAGTTAAGGAGTATGAGAAAGATTGTTTTGGTAGTTGCTTCATCGGGTATAGCAGCTACATTATTGCCAAATGCAGTAACGGCACATTCGAGGTTCAAAATCCCCCTTGAGATAGATCACACTTCTACCTGCACCATCAAGAAGGGATCTCATCTAGCCCAGCTCATCCAAGAAGCCACCCTAATTGTTTGGGATGAAGCTCCGATGACACATCGATTCGCTTTTGAGGCTCTCGATCGAACATTCTGCGACATCATGAACATTCCGATAAGTGGCGAGGGATATAAGCCTTTCGGAGGAAAGTGCATGCTTCTGGGTGGTGATTTTAGACAAACATTGCCTGTGGTGGTCGACGGAGGACGAGAGGAAAGTATTGATTCTTCTCTAACGAGATCTCACCTTTGGCAGCACTTCAAGATCCTGCCTTTGACAGTTAACATGCGAATCAATTCAAACCCAAACAACCTACTGCAAGTGTATGATGGGAAGATTTTTGAAGATTGGGTTCTGGCTATTGGTGATGGAGCAATTAAGTCCACAACATTCAGCACATCGGCGGCAACAGACTGGATACATTTACCAGATAAGTTCCTCATTACTCATACAGGGAATAGAATTAAGGCAATTACTGATGTGGTATATGAGAATTTCCATACTAACTACCATGATATCAACTACATCAAGAATCGAGCCATAGTCACGCCAACAAATCGAGTAGTTTCGGAAATCAACGACTACATGTTGGCCAAAGTCAAGGGAGATGCCAAAACATACTACAGCTCAGATTCAATAGAGGATGATACAATAAACAGCAGCAGGTGGGAAGAGGAGTACCCAACTGAGTTCCTTAATAGCTTATCGTTCAATGGTGTACCAGAACATGAACTGCAGTTGAAAATCTCTACTCCAGTCATCCTTCTTCGAAATCTGAATCCGTCCATTGGCCTGTGTAATGGAACAAGGATCATGATTACACAGTTGGGAGAACATGTCATCGGAGGGGATATCATTGGAGGGTCGTATGACAAGACGCCGGTTGCTATTCCTAGAATTGTGCTCAATATCACCGAACACAGGTGGCCATTCATCTTGAAGAGGAGACAGTTCCCGGTAAGATTGTGCTATGCAATGACAATAAACAAGAGTCAAGGCCAAAGCCTCGACATAGTCGGAGTTTACTTGCCTAAGCCGGTGTTCAGTCATGGGCAATTATACGTAGCAGTTTCACGAGTTCGATCGGCTGACGGACTTCATATACTGGTTGACAACGACGGAGAAGTTCCACAGTCATACACAAGAAATATAGTATATAACGAAACGTTCGTTCATTTGAACAGCACGGCAACATCGGTCACAGGTAAATCATTTATTAATCTATATTGACACAATACGCACACTAGAAAGATAGATTTCCAGCTTACATACATTAACCAACAAACATACCAAATTCTATTGCAGATCAGACGGACATCGACCAAGAGGAGAGCAGAGAATGACTTATATCAGATGCCATCTTATCTATCTTTCAAAGGTAAAACAATTATCTATTGAGAATGAAAAAACCACATCAGTTAGAATGGAAAGTGGATTAACTATATACTAATTAAGTGTTACAGAATCTTAAGATCATGAAGAATTTTAAATAAGACCTCCTTCCTTTAACTCATTTACATTCTCAATGATACAAAATCACTTTACTTTGACGTCAATAAAATTCCATTATGGGTTTTAATTATGTTTCCCTTCCTATTGGATTTTTAGATCAGCGTCCAAGCTCAACAATCTACATGCTACCACCAAAAGGAAAGTCATTGGTCTGGAAGACAAGAACAACAAGCAACTAACATACCAATAACTATTTTACTTATATTTTATTGTAATAGGCTTATATATATATATGCTTCGTACGAATCTCTGTTAGCTTCCAATTCAAACCATTGACATGACAATATGATAATTATTTCATTCAAAACCTTTAATTACTTTAAAATTTTTTGTGAACACAAGACTACACTATCGTACTAATTCAATTGCACTAGGGATATCGATTTGTAAATCATCAAAATCACCAATATAAAAAATCCCGCCGCGTAGCGCGGGCTATATGGCTAGTTTACTATTAAACTCACTATTCACCATCTCATTAATTATATTTTTGATAGTAACAAATAATTCATTTTCCATTAACTTTATAAGATCATCTTTTTTTTTTTTACCATGTTTATCATGTAAAGAAAACACATACCAAGGGGTCGTTTGGAAGTTGCGATAGTTTTGTTGAGATTGTCATTATGCATGTATTGTTTACAATGCATCGTTTTTTTGTTTTTTTAGCATAAACAATACATTGATTGTTTCTGTGATGTGACAGAAACTATCACTCATTTTGAGTGATTGTTATATATCAACTTTTAGTTGTGATTGTTGAGATAGTTGAGTTAAGATTGTTTTGTCTTAGCTTTTAGCTGATGCGACATAAACAATCACACATACCAAACGTTGTATTCTACAATGCATTAAATTCGACAATACATGTATAATATTATACATACATTCTCAACAATACATCTATTTAACAATCGCAACTTCCAATCCACCCCAAATCTTTTTATAAGATCAGAAGATTCTATCTTTCATTTTGGAGTGGCAAAAAATTTAACAAATTAATAAGAAATCAAACACATTCCCACTTCTCCTCGTATCGTAGGAGTCTCCTAAAACATTAGATTCTAGCGATCCGTTTGACAAATGGTAATGGAATAGAAGAATCCCCCTTCCCTTCCTTCGCCGGCTTCCATTACTTCTACCCATTTCACTCTCCTCCATTCTCCGACCTTTGCAAGCAAATATGCTAAATCCCACCATGACTAAAGCTTAATCATTTCTCTCTCCATCCATCCCTTGTTCGACCACTCTTTCTCTTTCGTGCTGTTTACTCCCATCAGTTATGGCGACGCCGAAACCCCAGAGGTCCCCCGAAGAAATTGAGGACATAATCCTCCGCAAAATCCTTCTAGTCACGCTCGCTCCTCCTGCCCATGGCGCCGATCCAAGAATCATTTACTTGGAGATGACCGCTGCCGAGATCCTCAGCGAAGGTAAAGACTTGAGGCTTAATCGCGATGTCGTAGAAAGGGTACTAATTGATCGCTTGTCCGGCGAGTTCCCTGACGCCGAAGCTCCGTTTGCTTACCTACTCGGATGTTATCGCCGGGCTGTTGATGAACTGAAGAAGGTCGCCAATATGAAGGATAAAACCGTCAAATCTCTGGTGGAGGCTTCTATCAAGCAGGCTAAGAAGCTCTTTGTTAATTATGTTAGAATTCATTTGGGAAATCCGGAGTTGTTTCCTTCGAGTTCACCATCTCTCGCTGGTAAATCTACTATTTGCAGCCTCACGCCTTTGATTTTTGGAGCGGTTGATAGAAGTGGGTTTGGCGGTGGTGGAGGGAGTCAGCCACCGCCTCCTGGGTTTCTTGATGAGTTGTTTTCAGAGGCTGATTTTGATAGCTTGGACCCTATATTCAAAGGGCTTTATGAGGATTTGAGAGGTCATGTCATAAAGTTATCAGCTTTGGGGAACTTTCAGCAGCCATTGGCTGCACTGTTGTATTTAGTTAAGTTGCCGGCTGGAGCTAAGTCGCTAGTGAATCATCCTTGGTGGATTCCAAAAGGGGCTTACTTGAATGGAAGAGTGATTGAAATGACTAGTATACTTGGACCCTTTTTCCATGTCAGTGCGTTGCCTGATCATACCATATTCAAGAGCGAGCCTGATGTTGGGTGAGTTAGAAACTAGTGGAATTTGGTTCTTTTGTTCAACATGCTTCGCCGTGTCTGGTTTTATTGATAAGTCACCTGAAATTTTCTACAGACAGCATTGCTTCTCGGAAGCATCAACTCGTAGGCCTGCTGACTTATTGTCTTCATTTACTACTATCAAGACAGTTATGAATAACTTATATGAGGGTCTCTCCGAAGTTCTTCTTACTCTACTTAAGCATGCCGACATTCGTGAGCATGTCTTGCAGTATCTCGCAGAGGTGATCAACAGAAATGCCTCCAGAGCACATATCCAGGTATGCGGTGGGCTGAAATGATCATTCAAGAATCTCTTGGTCATTACATCATATATAAACTAAGTGAGGGTTTCTCGTTGTGGTTTTTTCTGTCTGGGAAAGGGATGAAGTTAACATCTTTTTTGACATATGTCAACATGAAGTTGCCATACTATGGCTTTTGTATCATCATACTTGATGTTATCTGTTTTGTTCAGGTTGATCCCATATCTTGTGCAAGCTCGGGCATGTTTGTCAGTCTCAGCGCTGTTATGCTTCGACTCTGTGAACCCTTTTTAGATCCACATTGCTCAAAGATTGATAAAATTGATCCAGGATATGTGTTCTACTGTAACCGATTGGACTTGAGGTTGGATCCTTTGCATTTCTTTATTGTTAGCAGATTTTGCTACTAGTTAGTTTCATATCTTTAATTTCCATTGTTTTTATGTTTGGTACCGTCTTAATCAGAGGGTTAACAGCCTTACATGCATCATCAGAAGAAGTTGCAGAGTGGATTAAAAATGATAGTTCTGGGAAAGCTGATATTAATTCTGGATCTGGTGATATAGAAAACCGTGTGGTCCAATCACAGGGAGCCAGTAGTTCTGGTTCCAAGCCTGCATCAACTGGTGGTAAGGCTTCATACGCATTTATAAGTGAATGCTTCTTTATGACGGCAAGGGTGCTCAACTTGGGCATGCTAAAAGCATTTTCCGACTTTAAGCACTTGGTTCAGGTAATACATTCATTTCTTTTGATAATCCTAATAATTTCCACAAGACTGCTCAAAATAATGTAGCTATTGATTGATTATTGCACTTTTCTTGGCCATTCAAGGACATTTCAAGATCTGAGGACACTCTATCGACATTAAAAGCATTGCAAGAACAGTCACCTTCACCGCAAATGCAAATGGATATTGCTCGCCTCGAGAAGGAATTAGAATTATATTCTCAGGAAAAACTTTGCTATGAGGCACAATTACTGAGGGTACATGGTCTTTTCTGCTGTTGCTTCTGCTCTTTTCTCTCTCTATCCAACTGCCTGTTTAGATGTATGGGCATTTGATCAGTTGTTGAGCATGATGAATTCCATTCCCGAATGGTAAAGCTAAAGTCTCAATCTTTTCATTGGGCTTTAGAATAATTTAGATAAAGTTCTCGTCATTTGTCTTGAGATTCATTGCTTTTATCCATTGTCGTCTTACCTGTCTTCTTTCCTTTCATATCTAGTCCCAGGCTAGTGTTTCTCTTTCGTAACACCTTGTAGATTGCATTTTCTAGCTTGAACTTTGCTGGATTTATTATTATCCTCACGCTCCTAAGCCTAAGCTATTGTTTGAAGGACCCTACTCTTATTAAGCAAGGGCTCTCGTTCTACCGATTGATGGTGGTTTGGTTGGTCAGCCTGGTTGGTGGATTTAAAATGCCTCTTTCATCTACTTGCCCCATGGAATTTTCATCGATGCCTGAGCATTTTGCGGAAGATGCGATGGAGTTACTTATATTTGCTTCTCGAGTCCCAAAAGCTTTAGATGGAGTCATTCTGGTATAGTTGACTTCACAAAGGCTTTTTTATGATGTTTGCTTTCCTTGTTGAATAAAATATTGCATCTGTAACTGTTCTCATCTCTTTCCTTCATTGGGATTGCTGGCAGGATGATTTTATGAACTTCATAATCATGTTTATGGGAAGTCCAACACACATTAGGAACCCGTATCTCAGAGCAAAGATGGTTGAAGTGTTGAACTGCTGGATGCCCCGTGGGAGGTGATTATTGGTGTTTTTTATATCGGGTTCTCCTCTTAAATGTGAAATGTAGTAAATAACTTGTGCTGTTGTATCTGCAGTGGTTCATCTGCTACAACTAGTCTGTTTGAGGGACACCAATTAGCTCTCAAGTATCTCGTGAGGAATTTGTTGAAGCTTTATGTTGACATTGAATTCACTGGTTCGCACACTCAGGTTATGTCTGAAAACCACTTCTGAATGTGAAAATTTTCATTTGTGTTTTAAGCAGTTAATGATTGTTTGTTTTTATAATAGACATGAGTTTTCTAGTTTTGTCTGTGCTAAATGGCTTTGTTTTTCAGTGTCCTTGTTTATTGTTGGAAGCAAGCACTTACTGCATTCATGAACTAGAATAGATGTGGTAGTACTTTGTGTACTGGTGCATGGTGTGAAATTATAGTTGGTATTTTAGCTTCTTTGTCTGTTTGTTTGTATGTGCTATGTTACTCGTTAATGATGGCTCTTCCCGTGTTTTGGCTTCTGCAGTTCTATGACAAGTTCAATATCCGACATAATATTGCTGAGCTCCTAGAGTATCTGTGGCAGGTCCCTAGTCATCGTAACGCCTGGAGACAGGTAGAATACCGAGTATAGACCTTTTAGTTTTCGATATCCTTTGATTATTTAAAGTGTCAAACTCGAATTTCTGTCACCATTTGCAGATAGCAAAGGAAGAGGAAAAGGGAGTTTACTTGAATTTCTTGAACTTCTTGATCAACGATAGTATATATCTTTTGGATGAAAGTCTGAACAAAATTCTTGAACTGAAAGAACTGGAAGCTGAAATGTCGAACACGGTGGAATGGGAACGGAGACCAGCTCAGGAGAGGCAGGAAAGAGCCCGGCTGTTTCACTCCCAAGAGAATGTCGGTGTCTTTCTGACTTAAAATTGTCACATATATGAGAGAGTTTTTTCTCAGATGGATATCTCTATCTTTGTGCAGATCATCCGGATTGATATGAAGCTGGCAAACGAGGATGTGAGTATGCTGGCCTTCACATCTGAGCAGATAACAGTACCTTTCTTACTCCCTGAGATGGTAAGTTCTTATTTGGATCAACTTCATTATCTCTTACAACTTGTAACTCGAATGTTACTTGTAGTTCAGAACTTGATTTAATATTCTGCAAATTCCAGTTACAGACCTTTCCAACTTCTTTTATCTATTTAAATGACACGATTCTCTTGCATGACGCCAGAGTATCGATGTTTGAAAGTTCTCATGTTTGAAATCCTTGTCATCCTTAATAGTAGTAGTTAGTTACTTAGTTGTGAGTTACCATGGATTTTGCAAACTTGTAAATCAGTAGGGTTTTCTAGCAACTCAAATTAGTGGGATGAGATTATTTTTTCTTGTACCATAAGATCTTATTCTTAACGTGCACTATTTGCAGGTGGAACGAGTGGCCAGCATGCTGAATTACTTCTTATTACAACTTGTGGGTCCACAGAGAAAATCTCTTACTCTGAAAGACCCTGAGAAGTATGAATTTCGTCCAAAACAGCTCCTGAAGCAGGTTAGCTTAAATATGGATTTTGTGAATATTGCATATGTTGTAATCTGATAATGGCCTTACATTCGTGGTTTTCTTGTTTGAAAGATTGTCCAAATATACGTTCATCTAGCTAGAGGTGATAAAGAAAACATATTCCCAACTGCCATTTCAAAGGATGGAAGGTCATACAATGAACAGGTAAAATAGGGCATGCATGCAGTTCCATTTCAATGGGAATGGCAAAATTGAGTTGCTTTATTCTGTTCTATTGATGGGTGAAGGAACAATCTTAGGTTATATTTACTGCTGCAGTTATTTAGTGCTGCTGCTGATGTTCTTCGAAGAATTGGTGAAGATGGGAGAATCATACATGAGTTTGTTGAACTTGGTGCAAAAGCAAAAGTTGCTGCCATCGAGGAAATGGACAGTGAAGCTGCTCTTGGGGAGGTACCGGACGAGTTCCTTGACCCCATCCAGGTAATTTTAGGTTAAAACGTTTCATAATCTATTAATCTGTATGAAGGCTTAGTGCAGGAATTTTATGCCTGAAAAATTGCATCCCTTTCACAGTACACTCTGATGAAAGACCCAGTTATACTACCTTCTTCAAGAATTACCGTGGACAGGCCTGTCATCCAAAGACATCTCCTTAGTGACAGCGTAATTCTTCTACTTCCTTGCCTCTCAAGTAAGTTCAAACAATATAGTCTGATCATTCTCTGATTTCGGGGGTTCTTGGTATTTGGGTTGTAAATGCAGACGGACCCCTTCAACCGTTCGCATCTTACATCTGATATGCTGATACCGGACGTGGAGTTGAAGGCAAGAATCGAAGAGTTCATCAGATCTCAACACCTTAAGCGGCATAGTAGTGACGACTTCAGCATGCAGAGCAGCAAAGCATCCATTCAAACCACTGCCGGGGACATGTTGATTGATTGATTGATAGGAACTAGGAAGGAAGGACAATTCGTTCAGGGTAAACTTCTATTGAATGCTTCAAAATCAGGATTTTCTCCTTCACTTTTGTAACTATAAATCTTCCAAGTTCCTCAATCCCATTGCACATAAGTTTATTGAGGCCTCTTGTAGAAGTTCGCCTACATTACATTTATGCCATGTTTACTTCCCATTTCGTTTTCTGTTTTTTGTTTAAAAAATGAAAATCAAGAAACAAATGACAAAAAATGTGTTCACCTGCCATTTCGTTTTCGTTGGAAAAAATAATTTGTTACAAATGAGAAAGCTTTAGGAAAACAATAAATACTTGAAAACAAGGGTTCGGGTATCCCGTTTAGTTTATTGAGGCCTCTTGTAGAAGTTTCAACTTTGCCTACCATTACATTACATTACATTTAGTGTTTGCCTGTCATGTTATCAAGAACCCTACTCCAAAAAGAACCAACTAATTTATTTTCTTTATTCAGGGAGGTATCAATGAGTATACCCTCCAACATGATCATATAACATGAACATACTGGAGGATATGGTTTGTTCATCATCTGATGACAATTGACAACAAATGAACAAACACAAGAAAAAAAAAAGCAAGATTATCCCAAAAACATTGCACTCTAATTCACCCTTCTATCCGACTTCATTCATTCAAGGTGGTCATGTGGTCGAATCGACATGAACATGGCAGCATATCTCAACAACTTATTTTCCACATCCCCACCACTCTCAACCACAGGGTTCATCGGACCAGCACCACCGCCACCTCTAGTCCTCCGCCTGTACCGCCGCCACGCAAACTGAATGTTCACGGCCGCCCACGTCCGCCAGTTCGAAGAGTAATACCTCGCCGTCCTCTTCAGCCTCTCGTTCGCGAACTTGTACCGGAAATGATCCGTAATGTACTTCAAGTGGTTGGCGTCGAGAGCAAATGCCTCCGCGGCTTCTATGCACACGAACGTCGCCGACGAAGCTGGAAGCCGCTCGTTGAATGGCCGGCGTAGGCACCATGACAAAAGTTCGTCGCCGAGGAAGCCCCCAGCTTCGAGCACGTTTGTTGCTACCACTCCTTTGCTTAGCCTTTGTGAGCTTTTTATCTTCCCACGGACTAAAAACACCATTCTTGGTACTGGATCCCCTTCTCTAATTATCTGTTTCCACAAAATAACATAACGTCAATTTACAAGTACACGAAATCAAGTACAATTAGATGGAAATATTAAACGGATTACCTTTTCATCCTTGGAAAACACAATGGGCTTGACTCTGTCACATATGTTGTCGAGAATCAAATCGTCCAAGTTATGAAACAACGGCACCTGGATCACAGCTCAAAACAATCAATCAAGTTTCATTATTACTCATGATGCCAAATCAAACGAACTAAAACTAGATCATAAATTGATTGATTTGCCAGACTCAATTTAGTCTCTACCTTCTTGATGAGGTCTAGGCAGAGGTATCTTTTGATGTCCCGCCGTAGCCCTTCAGGCAAGTCTTTGATCATTTCCATCTCATCCTCGCCTCCCATGGTCGTCCACCTCTGGCGCTCGTAGTGCCGAACTCTCTGCCTCAAGCGGGAAGGCAGCTGTCTTCTTCTCATCCACCACTCCATGTCTCTGCACCTCAGCTGCATCTTTCTCTTCGTCGCCATCACCGCGTGCAAGAACACCTGCAACATCCCCACACACACTCGGAAATCTTGATACTCCAACAATATCAATGGGAAGAACTCCATTCATGTTTGTTCAAATTCACACAATTACATGAGTATATATTTGTTAAAACAAACACCTCACCTGAATGTTACCAATCAACAAAGTGAAGAGCATCAACCCACTCAGTACTAGGCATATGCTGAACATCACTTCCAACCAGTTACTAGTTGGTTCAAGATCATTCCCAAATGTGCTGCAATATTCATGCACAAATCCCATCAGTCAATCAAACTAATCTCAACACGACTATGTCATACAGCTGCGGAGCTAGGTTGAAGTCAGGAGAGGCTATAGTCGCTCTCAACGTTGAAATATAGGTAAATTGGATGTCAAAATTTCGTAACAAATTGCGGATACAGAGTAGTCGGCATGGTCTTAGCTCTCTCTCCCCAATTACCACAGTTCAAATCATCTCCTCTCATTCAGATTTTCAGATTTTTGGCTCAATGGACACACAATTATGACTAGGTAGGTAATCAATCTTACTTACCTGAGGGTCATTAAGCCCCAGAAAATGGGGTAAAGAATCTTGACAGCCAAAGAATCACTGGAAATCACAGGGAGAGCCCACTTGTAGATCCCATACTTGAAACTGCCATCCATGTCCAAGCACATTGGAGTCCTATGAGTAGTAGTGGAGTTGTAATAACCACCACAAGATCCGCTCCCCGCCGCCAGAGCATCGGGCAGGACAAGGCGGAAACAGAGCTCTTCGGAGCAAGACAAGGAGAGGTCGCAGTTGGAGGACAAGTTGCACTGCTGCTTTATGCAGGAGGCGGCGCGCTGGATGGCGAGCACGTACCAGCATCCTCCGGCGACGTGGGAGGCGATGAAGTAGGCGATGAGGTTGAGGCCGAAACCCCACCAGATGGTGCCGAAGATGTAGCCGGTGACCTTCTGCATTCTCCTCATCAGGGTGAGGCTGTGGTACACTTTGGGCAGGAATTGGAACAGGAAGATTAAGAGCATGATTGTCATTATCAGCTTGATCTGCTCGTCTCTGATCAATCTTGGCACCACCAGCCAGAACACAGCCTGTAGTATTGGGAAATAGGAACTGGTGGGGTGAGTTTAAAACAAAATGGCATTCATTCATGGATCTATAGAATATTTGGTATCATTGGAAATTATAGTGACACTATTGTTCTGGTCTCAGTCCATGCGCATTAACACTAGCAATATACATATTCGTAGGTCGATGAGAGAGTGATCGAACTGTCTAAGTCTAATAGCTTATATTTAAGTCAAATCTCGATTTAATATTCCATGCTTTACAACATCCTACAGATTATAACATTTAAACAAATGTATTTTGTGATAAACTTATGGAAAATTCTTAGCTTCAACCTTGATTAGACATAGAAGGTCCAATCAGTTACATGTCAGTTTTCTATTAGTAAGAAAATCTTCATTTTTATATTTTAATTCTTAATTTACTTAGCCTAATTAAGAACATTAAATATTAATTAAAAAGGAAGGTGAATCCACCAAAAACAAATTGACACGTGACTGGTAAAAGTTTCTGCGTCTAACAAAGATTGAAGCCAAAAAATTTCCATAACTTACTACTTGAGCAAATACATTATAAGACCGGGAGCTTCGAGCTTTTATCGTTGGGTGATTACATATCTTACCACTTAAGTCACTCTTACTGTCACTGTTTTTGCAGATTTAGATTGATATTATAATATTGTTATAGACCACACTATCTTTTGATGATATTCAACGACAAAGTAGAAAAGTAGGATCGTGCGTAGTTGGCAAAAGAAAAGGACAAGCTGGAGAAGATGATAGAGTTGCTCCATGACGTGCTCGCCGTTTATGGACAACTTTTAGTGACCGGATCTGATCACTTTATTCATTGTTGTTAGATAGACCTACCGATCGCATAAGGAACAAAATTTTATAAAACACGGTGGTCTCTGCTACGGCTATGCGTCATCCTTTTACAAAACAACCACATTTAATATATAGTAGTTATTCCCTCAGTACTTGGAGCACAAAATAAAGAGGTAGTTTGATCTCCTCCCTAATATACAAGACGAAGAACCCTATAAAACTATGATTGAGCACCGTCCAAATGGTCACCACAAATAAACAAACTATTTATGTGCAACTAATGTACACGTGTATCATAAGACACAAAGCAAACAATAAGAAAGAAAAATGTGTAAGACAATTTTGATATGATTAATGTAATGGGATGGTTTAATTTATATTAATAGATGTTAAATTTTTAGTCGATTGATCTAGTTTATAAAGGTATTCATCTAGTGGCGTAGCCAGAGTTTGGATGGATTGGGGTCTTTAAAAATTTCGAATTGATTAGGGTCCTTACATGAGATAGTATCGACGAAAGTATTGGATCCTATATTTGAAAAATCATACTAAAACACATATTTAAAGGGTTTTAGTACCCAATTTTTCACTAAATGGGATCCTACCTAGGACCCCTCTCCTCAAACTCTCCCTCCGCCACTGATTCATCGCCACTTGATATTGATATCATTGATGTCTCTTCTCTTATATGAGGGTTTGTCAATGAGCATATTGTACGGCTCACATTTGAAGTTTCATTGTTCAATTTTTTATTAATCGATAAGAAGTAATTAATGATGTACGACATTCGTGTCATAAAGGTGGCCTGGTGTATTTTTGTGTTGAATTCTTGAGATATGCTATTAGTATGAGCAGGACCATGAAGTCTTCATATCTTTCCATTCAATTCTATTTATTTTTACTCATATTTTTCTTCCTTATAATTTTTATTAGTAGCTAGTTTATTTAACTACTCTATTATCATTCTGATTGAGATTTGAGTGTAAGATTTATTTTTTCTCAAATAATTTTACTTCTTTGTTCATGTAAATATCTCACGGTTAACATTCTCAATTGAAGCTTGTACCACTACCGCGCATCACATGGGTGATGGGTAATACGGTTGTCCTCTTGCGGCCGTATGATGCAGGCCAGGCGCCTCATCGGCCGCACAACCACAACAACAACAAGAACACGCAACATAACACGTCCGAAAATCACCAGAAAATTACCGCAACAAAAAAAAAAAGGCGTGGGGTCGGTATACGTATAGACGTACGTACCTGGGGAACGGGGAGGATGACGAAGGCGTCGAACCAGAACCCCTTCAGCGACCGGAGGTAGTGGGCCGCGATGGCTTGCGGGTCCCACACCAGCTTCCCGCACCCAACCACCATCGACTCCCGCGACACGTACGCCACCCGCAGCTGCAGCCACACGTGCACCACGTGCGCCCCGTCCAGGCACGTGCGGAGCACCGTCACGATCGCCGCCAGCCCGCCGTCCATGTACAGGCACGGCGAGCCCCCGCGCCCGATCGACAGCGCGTAGAAGAACAGCGGGTCCACCGCCAGCGCCATGGCCCGGGCCAGGAGGAACGCCCGGTTCAGCCGCTGCACGCGCTTGCTCCGCGGGTCCACCACCGTCCCGAACGCGCCGCTGGGGCGGCGGCGCGGCCGCGGGCGTGGGGCCGGGAGTGGAGCTGTTGAGTTGGAGTGGATGGGGACCAAGGAGGAGCCGGCGGAGGCTTCCCAGAGCGGCTGGTGGGCGGCGTCGCAGGTTGTGGAGTGGAAGACCGGGACGCCGACCTGCGTGCACGCGTAGCATTCTACGACGTCGTCTCCGCCGGTGCCTACTACGTTGCTGATGTCAGCGGTGGTGGTGTATGGTTCTGGGAGTCGTGGCCGGCGGTGGGCGGAGAGGAAGGGGAAACGAAAGTTGGGCATGGTGGGGATTGGAAAGGGAGAAGTAAGAACGGTGATGGAACCACCATGGGAGAGAATTGGAGAAATTTGTTTAGGGAGGGGGGAAAGAAGAAGAGGGCGAAATTGAACAACAACACTTTGTTGATAGGGCCAAGACAAGAGAGAGAGAGTGTGAGGGGAATTGCTATATGAGGTAGTGAAGGGGTGGGACGATTTTGGTTTCTAGAAGATGAACTAAACTAATTAAGGTAGGATTTGATTACAAGGAAAGAGAGGAGAGTAATGTCATTCTAGTTATGATTATGAGTTGATTAGTTTTGAAATAGTTGGGAAGTAATGGTGAAGATTTTTTTTCCCTGAGAATAATCGATGAGATATTTTTTTTGAGATATTTTTCTACTTTATGTTAGCTTTAACATATTTGTATTACTGGAGTTTTGTTATTGTTCGTGTTATATTGCATACACGAAATAATGCTAAATTACATTTATTTCTTCCTTCAACCTCAGACATTAAATGTGTATCATGTTGAATTATATCATAGTTTAAAGCAGTTAAACATATACGAACCAGTGTCACTCTCATCTAGGAATGGTAATGGGGCAGGTTCGGGGCGGATTTCTTGGTACCCAGACCCGCCCCATGGCAGGTCGGGTCTTGGTCGGGTAATTTATCAGGGGTCGCAGGTTGAGGCACGTCGACCCAATGGGTATGCAATTTATATGAAAAACATTAGAAATATTCGTTATTTTTATTATAAGACCAAGAAAACAAACAATATTATGATAAATGTAGTTAAATTATTAGAGAAATTGAGATTTTCACTAATTTATAACTTTATTATAGCTAAATTATCATGTAATAAATGAAAAATCCTAAGTAATTTAACTAAGATTACATGTAATTTAGGCAAGAACAGGTCGAGAATGGGGCGGGTCAGGGCAGGTCGGGTCGATGAGAGTACCCATGCCCACCCCGCCCCGCCTACGGGGCGGATCGGACCCGCCCAAAAACAGGGCAAACAGGTCGGAGTAAAACAGATCTGGTCAAAATTGCCATCCCTACTCTATCTCTTATGGTGAAAGGGAAAAAGAGGAGGGAGATAGTTGGCTTTGTAAGAGCTAAGAAGGAAGGGGGGATAGATATTACTTCCAAGAAGGATCATAAGTACTATGGTTTCCTCTTTTTGTTTGTTTATTATGATGCAAGTTACATATTAATTAGTGAAATTCTCATACCTCTTGGTTTAGTTGTCCACCATGTCACTAGTTGTGCCATTTTTTATTTTTTTATAAAGGTGATATAGGTTTAACTTTTTTTTGTTATTAAGGTACTATTTAAGTGATTCATACTTGGGATCTCCAAGTTCTAGACTAGTGGTATTACCACTAGACCAAGCCCTTGTTTGTTGCTCATCTGTTTTTAGAACCGAACTAGAGGGTGAACCAGAAAAGTTAGTAGTTTAGAGTTCAGTGGTTAATCGTTACAATACCGTTGGTAAATCGTTGATAGAACCGTTCATGATATATAACATACGATACAAGTCTAGTATATTACACTAATTTAAGAATGCAATTATCATTGACTATAAACAATTTCAAATTCATATCACCGTCAAAATATCTAATAAATCATTCGAACCGTCTCACAAAAGAAATCATAATTTTTTAATTCAAATTAAAAATTACGGTGCCAGTCGGTGGTGGACCACGTAAAGTCGACAACAATGTTGGAAAATAAGAAGAAGAAGCATATATAAAATTAATAATTATGTTTTGATGGTCTTAGTTAATGTTATAGTATTTTTTTTAAAAAAAAAAATTGTGGTTAAAATAGTGGACCGATCAAATCGTGGTGGTTCATATATATGATTTTATGTTGAACTATGAAAAACCGTCTAGTCCATCAATAACCGTCCAAACAATAAACTGAACCGCTATCGTAATTGGTTTGACAATTCTACTAGCCTAGCCGTTGATCCGATGGGGTACTTATAACAATGGTTTGCACTATGCTACACTAAAGTGTATCTTATATAGTTAGTATGAGGTTGAACAACATTTTTTTTAATAAAAACAACACAGCTTGATTTTATGATAAGGTGTCACTGAAGGGATTTAAACCTGAACCTCGAGATATTTTAAATTAGCACTAGATCAAACTCTTATTCGTGAGTTGGACCGCATTTCACCAAGGTAAATGAGAAACCTCGTTAATTAATTAGCAACTCGAATACCAAACATAGAAATTAGCAGCTTGAGAGATGAGGTGCCATTTCATGGTTAATTGATTGAGAGAATTGAAATGATATGATCGAGGGCGGGCGGGGTCCAGGCTGAGTTGGGGTGGGTACGTGTTAACATGGAGAAGATGTGGACACAACCAAACAAATAAGGCTTGCCTAGCTTGTTTGATTATTAGGATCACACACACTGTTACACTCACAACAAGAAATGAACCAAGCAGCAAGTGTGGCCTGGCCACTCTCTCTGTCTCTCCCTCTCCTCCCTCTGTCTCTCTGTCTGTGTCTGGTACGTGGTATGATGCAGCAAGCAGGAACCAAGTATGCCATTGCAAGCAGAGATGGAGGAGCTTCGATTAGGGGTGTCAGTTCGGGTCGGGTTTGGTTACCCAAACCGAAACCCAACAACTCGAAACCGAAAATCACTAAAATCGAACCCGAATTCGATAAGAACTTGCGGGTTCCGGTTACCCGAAACCCGAAAATTTCTTATCGGGTTTGGTTAAAGCAAAACCGAAACCCGAAAACCCGAACGCCTAAAAATATGGGCTGAGTTCTATTCATTGGAGGTTTTTAGCCGGAACCCGCAAAACCGAAACCGAAAAACCCAAATCTCGAAACAAACCCAAACCCGAAAAACTGAAAATGTATATAATCGAGTCGGATTTGGGTAAACCCGAAAAACCAAACCCGAATGGACACCCCTAGCTTCGATGGGGCTCCACATGCAGATTGAATCAATGACCCCCACACACATACACAGAAATAGCAGCTGCTTCGTATCGTACATATTCTTCTCTTCCGCCAGCTCGATCCCTCCTCAAACTTCTATCGATGGACCACCCACCAATCAGTTTTGTTTGTATATATTGGTGCCAGCCATGTCGATCGTCGAGTTCCATCAAAACTTCATTTTCACTATTGATTCTTTGTTTCCTGGATCTAGTTTTATTTCCCCCATTTTCACTACCAAATGAAATGAATGGTTGATTTGATTCATTTGGTTCCAAATTGCAAGTTAAGAGTTGGGCCAAAAAATATTGATCGATATCTTCTGCATTTTCCCCCCGATAATTGATTTTATGTATTTGGAATTGGCTACATCTATGAAGTTTCTATGTTAATTGGCTTGAATTTGTGTTATATTGCAATGATTTGTTCTTAATTTGGATGAATTGGGAAAAGAAAAGGTGTTTAGTTCGGTGTATATGTAACATCCGGTTTCTTCTGACCAACATATTGCATGTTTTATGTCTACTAACACAAGATTTCGTTTTTTTGCCTTTTTGGAGTGTATTATGATGACTTTTCGAGAAGTGACCCATCTTAGTACTCCTCTATACTGAACGTATTTAATTTTAGAGTTCCTACAAGAACTTTTGTGTTTGTTTTACGAACTCGTCTTGTCATTTAAAGTTGAATGATTCTTATAAATCATAGATCTCTCATACTTTATTGATATGTAATTTGGCTAATTAAGGTGTTATATTATAATAATTGCTGACAATTGTGGAAAAAATAGAAAAGTACTTATCCGGCCCATTTTTGTAGAGTAAATTTTCTTATAAGTTATAACTCTTATTTTGATATTTGCATGTACAATCATTACTTTCTCGGCGTTTTGGATAAGATCAAGTGTGTCACATACTCGCATTGCATGTCCAATCAAAATTGTAATGGGCAATGGCAATTTCACTTTACCAGTTAGACGGACGCAGCAACGGAAGCCCACTGAGTCGGCCTAATTGTGTATTATGTTAAAGCCCATCGGCCCAAATTTTATTTCTTATCTCAATAAATATTATCCATTTTTTCTCAAATATTAAAAAACTAACAAAAAGTTTTCCGACAGCTATCCACTCCCCCTCCCCCTCCTCCCTTCCACCTCTAGTCGGTGCATCATTTATCATTTTCTTCGTCTAAAGACTCTTCTTTTCCAATTTCGATCCCCCCTTGACGTTAGCAAATAGCAACACTATATAGTGTCGCTATCTTTGCACACTACTGGGCGGCTCGTTATTTCTATTTTTCGTTTGCTGTGGCTAATGAAAATAGATGGGGAGAGAAAATATCCGTCAATATAATGAGAGAGGAAGTGAGTTAGAGAGGGGAGAGGAGATGAAAAAAATATATTTGGTTAATCACTGAGAGAGAGGGAGAGAGAGTAGACTAGATCCAATGCATGGGAGAGATAGCAAATTGGTGGAGTGATATTGGAGGATGAATTAATGGCGGCGGAAGGAGAGGATTTTCTGGCGGTGGAGGAGCCCAATGTTCCGGCTTCTTTTGTTCCCTCACATGGAACTAAGAGGGAATCGATCCTTGGAAGTATTGAGTTTATACAAGGAACTAAACTTTTCTAGACGAGAAGAAGAAAAAGGAGCTGAAGAGGAAGAAGGTTTACACCTGCTAGAATGGCGGGAAGAGAGATTAAGAGGCGTGACAACGGTGGAATCCTCGCCTTTTCTTCGTCGTGGTGAAGCATTTTATGGTGCCGGTTTGGGGGAGGGAGCCGATGAAGGGGCTACTGTGTCGTTGTCGTTCATTATTAGAGTCGTTATGGTCTTGTTAGAGGAGCTCGTGATGCTTTCCTCAATTAACCCAATATTCACAATCTCGTTAGCAAGTTGTGTATTTTCAAACAACAAAAAACTTACTAGCTAATTGACTAGCACTCATCCTCGTTCTCTCCATAATCATTTTCTTGGGTATCGGATGTGATCATACATTTCATCATCATACTCGCTATTATATTTATACTCATGCAAAATTGTAAAATACTTAGTAGCTATATCTTTATTGACCACTTGATGAATTTTGATTGATATACGAGAATTAATAGAATAGTGAATACTAACATATGACAAGGGTTAATATGTAGGAATGTTCAAGAGGCTCACTTTCATGGTGATCCAAATTTAGCTAGAGATTAAAAGTTAATGATTCAAATATCAATAATACAAAACGAGGGAAACTAAAGAGGAAGAGGAGGGGGACTCTTCCCTTTTTTCCGAAGAAAGAGTGGATCTCGACGAAACTGCTGAAATAGAAGAGATTTAAATGAATGGGAAGAAAAAAATTAAGGATGAATTCCATTTTCACTTTCTAGAAGGGAATAAAAAAGAATCGAAATTCGAAATATTGGTAGATAAAAAAAACAAAATTTATGCTGGTTTGAAGAACCCTCGTAAAAAAAGTAGAATATAAAAAACATTAGTGTCAAATTGTAAACTATGAATTCTCATTTGTTCTTTTCCCTTTCTTTTTGGTGCAGGAGTAAACATAAATATTATATATTTCTTAAAGATAGTATAAAATTATTTAAGCATGATTTGTAGTTCCACACCTTTCTAAATTAGTTAATCATTGTCTAAGATGAAAAATTATTCTGTTTTTTGGCCACTAAAAATTATTCTAATTATTGATGTATTATGAAGGGAAAAATAAAAATTCTAAATTGGTCCACTAAAAAAAACACCCAACATTTCTCTACACCTCATTTTATGGAACAGTCCTTCCAGAAACCCTCCCCAGAAACCGGAGCCGTTTCGTGAAAATTTGACAGCAGCTAGTCGCTTAGCTGCACGGTGGAAGCAAGCAATTAGGGTTTTCCAATTCCTCTTCTGTAGTCATCGATCGCCATGTAGTAGAGTTCTATATCCTCTTTCTTCCCCACCCATCTGCGATACCGACAGTTGCTCTGGTAAATTATCTTCCGATCTTATTGCTGATTTCTTGTTTGTGTCGTGTTTTTTCAATTTGCGCTTCCCTACTCGTGAATCTATATACTCTCTGCTTAGATTAGGGTTACACGGATCTCTCCCCTTCAAATCCCGTTGGGGGTATCTCTTCCCTTCGATTATGAGGTTACCCACCTCAGTGAAATCCCTGTTCCAGTTAGAGGCAGCGGTGGGGAAGCCAACCAGACCTCCATGGATGTTTTCGTCGCTGTTTTCGTACTCAGAAACTCCTCAAAAGAAAGCAAAGGCTGCGCCTTTGCAGGAGACTAGAATGAGGGACAGAATGAATCTGCATGTCAAAGGTGGTGATGGTGGGGGTGGGTGCTGCAGCTTCCACAGAAGCAGGGTTGTTCGCCGTGGGAGAGCCGATGGTGGGAATGGTGGAAGAGGTGGTGATGTGATCTTGGAATGTTCCCCTGCAGTTTGGGACTTTAGTGGTTTGCAGCATCATGTTAATGCAGCCAGAGGGGGTCATGGAGCCTCCAAGAATATGATAGGCACTCGAGGAGACGATAAGGTTGTCCGAGTACCCGTTGGCACTGTGATTCATCTTGTTAGGGGTGAGCTTCCATCTTTAGTTCAGGCCAGATCGACTGAAGCTGCTTTGGATCCCTGGGATCTTCCTGGTACGTTAGATACTGATCCAACTACAAATTTTCAGCAGGAGGCATTGGCTACTGAGAGGTCCGAATCAACTTATGAAGAATCACCGAACGTAGATGTTGACCAGAATAAGCTGACAACTGCAGAAAGTGAAGATGTACAATACAATGTTGCAGAATTGACTAAACCAGGTCAGAGAGTGATCGTTGCTCATGGAGGGGAAGGTGGTTTAGGTAATGTTTCTACTTCAAATGTTCCGAACAATGCCAAGACTGGAAAGCCAGGGATATTGAATAAGGGAAACTCTACTGATCCTGATGATCACCCCTCCCTCCGAGCTGGTTCACCTGGTTCTGAAGCTGTCTGCATACTGGAGCTCAAGAGCATTGCAGACGTAGGCCTTGTGGGTATGCCAAATGCTGGTAAGAGCACTCTTCTGGGTGCTTTATCCAGAGCGAAGCCCACAGTCGGCCACTATGCCTTCACAACACTGCGGCCAAACTTAGGGAAAGTGAATTTTGAAGACTTCTCAGTCACAGTGGCTGATATCCCTGGACTGATAAAGGGTGCTCATGTGAACCGTGGACTTGGCCATTCCTTCCTACGACACATCGAGAGAACAAAGGTGTTGGCTTATGTGGTAGATTTGGCCAGTGGATTGGATGATGGTAGGAAAGGACTTCCACCATGGGAACAACTGAGAGATTTAGTGTTGGAGCTGGAGCACCATCAGGAAGGGTTGTCTGATCGGCCTTCAATAGTTGTGGCTAACAAGATAGACGAGGCTGGGGCGGAACTAGTGTTCGAAGAATTGAAAAGAAGGGTGCAGGGTGTTCCCATTTACCCAGTATGTGCTGTTCTGGAAGAAGGGTTGCCTGAGATGAAAGCTGGTCTCAGGGTGCTGGTGGATGGTGGAGGAAAATCTGGGCGACTCTGCTTGGATAATATTGATTGTTCTGCTGATAAGATGGAGCCAGAAGCTGGAAACCTCTGTGAAGTCAGCTCGCTTTGATATTTTCTAGGCTACTCTGAGGAAGTCCAAAGCAACCACACGTGTGCTGTGCTTCCCTACCTACCAATGTGTTTGTTACAATTACTGTTTGAGTAATACTGATCCCTGATTATTTGCCAAGGCATCAATCAGTATGCTGCAATAGAAGTATAGTTGAGGCATGAGATTTGTCGAATTATATATTTAACTGGTTCTCAATTTCTCGATTGAGGGGATGAGTTAAATTCAGGGGAAACCATAATTAGTATGGGAAAGTCAGTCGAATAAAGAAAGCTCGCAGAAGTTATTGGAAGGGGGAAAGTTAGGTCTTTGATTTAAGATCGATATATTATGGAGCGGTTTCAGCAATTCTTTGGTGTGCTTATGCTACAGGACTTGTTTCTTGCTGATACTTTCTGCAATATAAATGTTTCCCAATTAATAGAGTGCTTGTGTTGTGTGAATTTTTTATAATCTTGTTTATTTCTGAGGATTACAGATTTATTGTCTCGTCTTATCCGTCTTGTGTCTTTTTAAGTTCTTGTACCAAAACTTGGTTAATAGTTGCTCGCAAGAATGTCTCTCAGTTCCTCGCTTCTTTCTTTTCTTTTAGGCTGACTTCTCAAAGCGAATGTTGAGTTTTGTACAGCGGAAGGGTTAAAGAGACAGCACTAGATGTGGAACTTTGCATCGAACTGTCTTGCTGGAAGTGTCAGTTTAAAAAGCTCATCAAGTTCAAAGCCAAATCAAGTCACCCCATCTTCTGAATACTCGGACGATGAAGCATCTTCAGTTGTGAGCAGAGAAGAAGGCCTGGAGTGCCCAATATGCTGGGAATCCTTCAACATTGTGGAAAACGTGCCCTACGTCCTCTGGTGTGGGCATACCCTTTGCAAAAACTGCATATTGGCTCTCCAGTGGGCTGTTGTGAAGTTCCCAACTTTACCAGTTCAACTCCCGCTCTTCATCTCCTGTCCATGGTGCAATCTCTTGTCATTTCGCCTGGTCTATGGTGGAAACTTGAGGTTTCCACGCAAGAACTACTTCCTACTGTGGATGGTTGAAAGCAAGAATGATGATAGAGTCAAGACTCGTGCATCATCTACCTTTGAGGATCATCCAAATGTCTGGTCGGTGAATTCCAGCTTGGCTGGTCCTGGAAGTCAACATAATAATCACCATCACCATCACCATCACCACCCGCGGCAATCTAGGTCAAACCATGATGCTGTTCATGGCAACAACACTCCTCATTTCCTCAGTGTGGGGAGGATAAAATCGTCGATACAGAAGTCGTTGGTTTTCTTTGTTCACCTTACTGCAAAGTTCCCTCTGGTCATCATATTCCTTCTCATAATCTTATACGCCGTACCTGCCAGTGCAGCCATTCTGGCGCTGTACGTTCTCATCACTGTTCTGTTTGCCATACCGTCGTTTCTCATACTCTATTTTGCTTATCCCAGTTTGGATTGGCTTGTTAGAGAAATCATCACTTGATATCATTGTATTTGCCAGCTACTTCATAATTGGACGATTTCACGAGCCTCAGAGCTAGAACGGCCTTGTGTATCTATGTAGATTATATATTATTACCTATTGTAATGAATCTCTTCTGGCTGCTCCCCATTGGATTAGGGTCTATGTTGGCAGCAGAGGTACTGGAGGCAGAAGCCATCTTCTGCACTGTACTTTCTGGTTACTGGTCATCTAGAGAGATCTCTTTATGTAAGACAAGTTTGTAGGTGATAGTGGATTAGGTAAATTGGTTTTTAATATGTGTAATTCATTGCTAAATGCTAGTGCAGTCAGCTTCAAAATCAGTGGTTTCTGTGTTATGCTCGTCTTTACTTGGCCTTCGTCCTTTGTCACCATCAATGAGCAAGTGTTAACGTAGGCTGATGCTCTTGAATAGCCAAACGCTACGATTTCAGGCTGTGGATGTCCTATAACTTATCTCTAATGATACCAACTGCACAAATTCAGCTGGTGGATGGCATCTTTTGCCGGTTGATGTCCATTGACTTCATTATGAATGAAAGATTGAGATTGTGGATTACGCGTGGCGATCCATAATCGCCTACAAATTTCATTTTACAATGAGGATATGTTTCAAATTGATGGTTTAGGAAAGCGGTTACTCAATTCTCCTCATGTGAAACGAGACCGTTCATTTCCCATCCACAGAACAGAAAGGAAGAAAAATGAAGCTGCCGGGAATACTTCATTGCAGGCATATCGCCACGTGTCGCAAACATAGCTTCGAAACTTAGCCACTCAATATTTGGTAGGCAAAAGAATTCAACTTTCAGGATCTTCCATCCAACCCGCCAGCCAAACCAGAAGTATTGTCGCAGAGGGAATGGCGGGAGCCATTAACCTTTGCGGTTCTAAGTCAGCCGCATTACAGAATCTAGCGGTGTCTTTCAAGGACACAAATCATGTATTCCTTGGTGGGTCATCGTTGAAGGTCAAGGATCTCTGCTGGGAATCCAAACTCAGATTCTCCAGCAGTAGAAGAGCAAAAAGACTGGGGCTTGTAGTTGCTGCTGTAGAAGAAGAAACCATCTCAAAGGGAAGCTCTGATGGCAGGTTTTACTTCAACTTCACTGGCTTTCCTTTTCCTCTTGGCCCTTTTCTCAACAGGCGTACCCTTAGAACTGAGGTCAGTCCCTCTTCCCATCTCCTTCTTTAACAGTTGCGGCTAGCAAAGTGGTCTTCTTTGTTAAGTGGGTTTGGTTTGTATGTGTTGGTATAGGCTGTGAAAGGATCCATATGGCTGTTTGAACAAGAACAAGCATTAGGGTTCAGCAGTGTCTCCACAAACATCAGAATGACAGTCATCAAGCTCAAATCTGGAGGCTTGTGGGTGCATGCTCCCATTGCCCCTACAAAGGAGTGCGTTCAGGTTCTTCACCTTTAACTTTTGATATCCTAATTGCAAGGAAATTATATAAGATCGATAATTGAGCCTCTTAGCAACTCAAATTATGAAGATGAGACGTAAATTTCAGAGACTCTGACCGAGAACCGGGAACTCTCTTGTTTGAATCCTCACAACTTCTGGGATATGATTAAAGTTCCATGCTTGGATCTCTTCAATCAAATCAAGAGTTATTGAGATGAATTTGTGTTTACAGTCTATTAAGTACAACTCGTGGCTTTGCTGACTAGAGATCATGGTTTATGTTTGTCGCAGCTTCTGAAGGAGTTGGATGCCCCTGTGGAGTATATCATTCTGCCTACATTTGCTTATGAGCACAAAATTTTTGTTGGTCCGTTCTCTAGAAAGTTCCCCAAGGCCAAAATATGGGTTGCACCAAGGCAGTGGAGTTGGCCATTGAATTTGCCTCTTGAATTCTTCGGGATCTTTGGTGCCAAAACTTTGAAAGACGAGGATTTGTCAACCCCATGGGCAGATGACATTGAGCAAAAGGTTCTTAGCGCACCAGAAGTTGGTAATACATTTTAATTTCCCCCACATTTTAACCAAGCTGATTTGTATTTGGGCAGCCTAATAAGTTTTCATGTAACATTTGGAGCTTGTTTTCAGGACTTGGACCTTATGTGGAGGTTGCTTTCTATCATAAGCGCTCGAGATCACTTCTGGTGACCGATGCAGTGATTTTTGTACCAAGAAAGCCACCTGATTGTATTGGCAAGGATTCACTGTTAGCTTCTGCGAAGAATGGGTTAGCTGTGAAAATCCTTAGTAAAGGGAAGGAGGTACCCGAGGATCCCGTTGTTGATAATCCAATGACCCGTCAAAAGGGTTAGTGTTTCTTTTGTTCCATATCCAACACCCAAAAACTAGGGACTGTGTTACCTGTACATATCAAAACAGTGACCTTGTAATTATATTCTCATGGTTTAGATAGACCATTTAAAGTGTTAGAATCAACTAATTGGATTGCTTAATTTGTGCAGGGTGGGAAAGAATGGTTCTCCAAATCCTATTCCTCGGACCATCAAACCTGTTAGAACCCAATACCAGTTTTGCTCAGATGTCGCAGAAGTTGATAGTCTCGCCCATTATAAAGACACTAGTATTCAGCAAAGTCCCAGAAAAGGTAATGAGAGAACTTCATTATCCAATTCTTTCAGGGTAACCAGTTCCTCGTTTGTCCTTGGTTTGATAGTATCGGGTTTCGGTGTGTCTCTTCAACACTACACAGGTAAGAGATTGGATAGATAGGATTGGGAAGGACTGGAGATTCAAGAGGATCATCCCAGCTCATTTTGCTGCTCCAGTGAATGCCAGTAGGTCAGATTTCATGGCTGCATTTGCATTTCTGGACGATCTACTGGGGGAACGATATGTTACTCGGCCATCACTATCTCTCCTCTTCGCATCCATCATGGGGAAAGCTGCAACTTACTTTCCTCCAGATGACATGAAGACTCTATCATCCCTTGATCAGTTCTTGGTTTCTGTTGGTGCAGTCAAGAAGACTGTCTCGGGCCGCCGGAAGAGAAAAACAGCATTCTAGAACTGCAATGTAAGCATCATCAGTCTCTAGTACTTGGTGATAATACACAAGTACTTGTGCCACAGTTTAGTCGTCATACTGAATCCAAATTCCACAAAGTTGAATATATATATATATATATATACCGTCGATTTAAGCACGCATAAATGGTTTCGACCCACATTTTCTCCGTTTCCTCGGATTTCGAATAGTTTTGCAGAACAAGTTGCAATTGCAGTGTGTTTCTTGTGTCCTTTGTGGTCATGGATCATGTGGACGAATTTGTCATGATTAACGTCTGATGAAGGGATATGTGTTGCTTGTTGTTATGATGTGATTGTTGTTGGAACATTGTTTATCATATGTTTGATGAAATCTGTTGCTGGACTATCGGTTGGCCATAACTGTGGTACCCGCCAAAGCAACATTCATCCATATAACTAGTTTCATAATGGAAAATTGGCCGGCGTCCCATTCCCAATAAAAAAAAACATCATAAAGCAATCTACTAATCACCAACAATTCGGTTGAACATTTTCTATGTACACTGCTAGTCTAGTTGAATATATAATAAGATTTAGGGGAATCTGCAGAGCTCACCTGGTAAGTAGTAGGATACAATGTATCCAAGAAAGGGAGAAAATTAGTCAATACCATGTATCGTGTTGAGTTCTAGCGAGAGTTTAAAAATGATTATAGTGGTTTATCGAGAATTCAAAAACGACCGTAGTTATTCTTTTATATAAGTACGTACGTCCTTAAAGATGAAAGAATTTTTCATCGTGACTTCACATACGATTGTTGTTATGTGAGCATGAAGGTTTAAGACCGTGAGGTTATGTTCCATTGATATACTTGAGTATAAATTCGTCAAGTGGAGTTCTTAAAATCTTACTAGAGTCTAACAAATGGTTATACCTCTTCTTCCTTACCGTCAACAATTTGCATATGTTTCTCTATAACTCTATAGCAACCACTCTTTCTAAAACATTCATTGTATATTTGTATTCCTATGTCGATATATATATTGACTTGATCATCCGAGTGCAGACCGGGACTACCCCTACCTCTCTATATTCAAGAAAATCAAACAAATGAGAACTTTAATAATTCAGGGCCAATTATTCATATTCGCAACCCAATCGAAAGTTGTTTGACCGAACCGAAACACTAATTAATTATTATCCATACAACATATACATGAACTTGTTAGAATTTTTTTTTTTTTTTTTGAAAGCATGAACTTGTTAGAATTAAACACACCTCAAAAGAAGGAATGATGAATTGCGATTATCTTGATCATATATCATGATCAATCATCATCCTCACAAAATCCTAATAATAATATACCAATGCGATTTGTTCTATAGTTGTTACTTAGCTTGGTAGATGCTAGATAGTATCCTTCCCCACCTCTCACTTATGAAAAAGGTGAAGCAGCCACTTCAATGATTGATCAAGGAGGGAAAAGCCTTACCTGCAGAGGAAGCAAAGCTTGCTTGCTTACTTTCTAATTCCATCATTGAATTCAAGAGCGAGGAAAGAAGAAAAGAGATGGGGTTTAGGGATTTGGGATTGCATGGGAATCATCATATTGTGACAGGAGAGAGAGAGAGAGAGAGAGAGAGAGAGAGAGAGAGAGAGAGAGAGAGAGAGAGAGAGAGAGAGAGAGAGAGAATCGTCTTGGATCCTTTCTTCTCCACGTTCACTCTTGGTGGGTTGGTTTCTGCTTTCACTTCTATCTCGAGTAGCTTCCATTAACGTTCATTTCACCTTTCCCCCCTGCTTTAGCCTTTTCTTGATCCAACAATGGCATGTTCTTTGCTGATGACATTTTTATCCTAAAGAGAGATTGTTGGACCACCAGTCCACCATTGTTGATATGAACCTACCTACCTTTGGAGTAATTACTTGACTAGTTACTCACCAACTAAAGAGGTATATATCCACACATGGGTATATGGTAAACTTAGTAGGAAATTGAGTATATATCTAGATCACGGCTCGAATGCTAATTATATGAAAAATATTATATCTATTGTGCTTCCACAAGATGATAGAGTAGTCAATTATTCGAACTTGAATTGTGCTAACCAGAAGCAAAGAATACCAAATAATTTGTCAAGACCAATATTAGTGATGAGGTGAAATATGGATGATTCTCATTATTTGGAATCGGTGGCTAGAAAGAGGAGTGCAATCGTGATTTACTTCAACACCTCAAAAGAGGGTAACAACATAAATATCCATATTAATGCTTCTTGGAAAGTTTTTTTTTTTTTTTTTTTATAGAAAGCCTGGTGAATATTATTAACTTCTGGACCCAGGGCCCATATCGTCCTCAACAAGGCATCTAAGATACATAGGGGGATTATCCACCCAAACCCATTGTTGATTCCACCCCAAACCCACATGAGCCAACCAATGAGCCACTGAGTTGGTTTTCCTTGATGAGAATACCCACCTAACCTTATCCCCAACCAGAGATTCATTTACCAAAGCTAGCTTTCTCAGCTCATCACACAGAACCCCCAACTCAGTAAAGTCATCCTTCCCATTCTTTAACATCTTCACCAGCAATTGGCAATCCGACTCTACGATCAGCGGCCCGATTTGCCGGCGATTGGCCTCGCGTAGACCCATCGCCATCGCTCTTGCTTCTGCTTCTATCGCCCTGCATGCCCCTTTTTCTTTCTTTGCCAGCGCACCCACAAACACCCCCCGCTCGTCCCTGAAAATACCACCTATTCCGATTCCATGCTGCTGAAAGACACCGGCGTCGGTGTTGAGTTTAACGAAGCCCACCGGAGGGGGAGACCAGCGATCACTCTGAGGGACACGACCTGTCGGAGGCGAAGTGGAGGTCTGGGAGTCAGAGGAAGCCTGCGCAGCTAGATACGCCGATAGCCAGCCTAGCGCCCGCGGGACGATTTCATCCTCGTCCAACTTCCGATTGTTGAATTTATGATTGCACCGCTCCTTCCACAGGTACCACAGAATCGAATTGAACCTTTGAACTCTGTCTTCTGGATAATTTCTGAGAATCGAACCAACCCATTCCTTGCAGGTCTTGCCATCACCTAATTCAAAGAGCTCCTTCTCGTCACAGTTCTTCCAGCGTCGCCTTATCCAGTCGCAGTCCTGGAGAGCATGCATCTGGGTTTCCACGAGGTTGCAGAAGGGGCATTCGGGGGCCGCCTTATCAATCCATTCTTCAATATTAGCTCCCAAAGCACATTGATCAACTTTCCAAGAAGCTTTTGAAGAAGCTGGTCCAAAAGCTTCTTGGAAAGTTGATCAATGTGCTTTTCATGGAAAGATAGCTACCGTTGGTTATTGTCTCGTGTTTAAACAAGGTAGAGTTCGATGGTAATTTGTTTCATGACTTAAGAGGAAGGCAACAATATGAAGCTCCACAATTGTATCCCTTGGGAAGTCGATCAACGAGTTTCATCATTCTCGATCTTGAATATTTAGCATACATTTTTTGGTATTTGTGTCGCACTTTGAAATTAACTGGACCGTACATAGAAGGTCAATCTACATGGAAAGTTACATACATGAATGAAACTAAATTATCTGTGTTATCAATGTCAAATAGCAATTGATAAGCAACCACCTCAAGTAAATATTAGAAAATAACCAATTGCATCTTAATTTCAAAATTTAAGTGTCACAAATTTACTTTTTGAAATAGTTCCTTTCAAAACTTTGAGAAGTTCATTTTTCGGTCAACTGATCCCAACAAATGGAAAGTCCACCGACCCCATTACAATAATGAAAATAATTGACCAAGTGACAATAGTAAATCAAATTTAAGGAATTAAATGCACCAAATTAACTTTCAAAAATTGAATTTTGAATCAACCAAAATTAGTGTCTCCCCATCTATTCAGCCACCAGTCAACATTCTGTTTCCCTTTAGGCCAAATTAAAAAGACTATAAAATTATATTTTGTGTAAAACATTCTACCAAAAAAAAAATCTATAACTATCCTAAATCACCATATAACTTTGACATTTGCAAAACTGGTGAAGCTTTTCTTCTTTACTAAAAAAAAGTAGAACCAAATTCATTAGAGCTATAGTTTAACCTATATAGTGGTATATCTAACCTAACTGGAAAGTTGAAAAGAAAACTCACACTCTATCACTAATTGGTGTATACATTATTTTTTAGTCATTGATAGATTGTTTATAGGTGCTGAATTGTGGAGTGCACCTATGCATCTTTACGTAAATTATTCATTAATGTGATTGGTTTAAATTGAACGAGATCTTATATAAAGATTGATGAGAATAACCTTTGTATGAAAAAATTTCAAACTTGTCTAAGAACAAAAAAAAAAAAAACTATTTATTAATCAGTTTATAAAAATACCAAATTTATAGAATCACTTTTATTTTTTGTTGAATTTACATAATCATTTTTGATAAATTACTCCATAATTTTATTTTTCCAATCCATAATTTTTTTGTTGTTGTTGATAATTACTCCATACTTATCATTTGGCATGTGAGGGCAATGAGTATATAAATAGGAGATTTGTAAATTCTGCAGCGGAGAGAAAGGAAAAGCTCACCAAACTCTGCCTGGGGGGAATTGATCTTGATTTTGATTGCTTGCACGATCTTTCTCCGGCAGAATCGACCGACACGGAAGCTTAATTCATATTATAATCTTGGAATCTGTCTTCTCAAAGGCAAAATCCAACTCCAAATCAAATCTCTCACTCTTCTTCCCTATGAATTAGTTTTCAGTTTCCCCTGTTTCCCCTTTTCCTTCGCTTTCTGGTTATGCTACGCACAATCCTCTGTTTTTTCGTGCCGCACTTCCTTTTCCGTAACACCAACAACCAAGGAAGGTACGCTCCTCCTCGATAATCCCCACATCCTACTTTCAGTAATCTCGTCCTTCTTCCTCCTAAAGCTTCGATCTTTAGCCGAAAATTTTCTGGGCATTTGCTTTGGGTTAACGGGCCGGACTCTGTTTGATTTCGGTTCTGGATTTTTCTGGGTGGGTTTTAGCTTTCTTCTCTTTGGGATTCCTGAGCCATTTGGGTTGTTGAATGAAGTTGAAGTTGGGTGTGTGTGATCTTCCCATTTGGTACGGCTTATTTTGCTTGTTCTTTTTTTATTTTATGTCAAATGAGACGCCGCTGTTCATCCAATTTGTTGTTATGGACGGTGAGGGGATTAGAAGATTTGCTGTTTCGAATTCCTTATAGTATGTAATTATGTTGATTCATGGCTTTCGGATTAATTGCATTGTGCCACATTAAGTGTTTGAATCTGCCATTTCTGATTCTCTTGGAAGATCAACCTGTTTGCTGCAATTCCAGATTCACTTACTTTTCCTGTTACATAATTATTACTTGTCCTTGATGTGTAAGGGATGGACTGAGTAATAGTGTTTGATATTGATGGTGGATTCAGGGTTCTGTGAAATGATTATTGTATGTTCTCTTTCTGGTTGTCATTGGGTTTCTCGATCCATTTTTTCTCGTAAGTCTGCAGATTGAGAACCCTTTTCATTGTTCTTGATTAGTCTGGATATAGTACAGCTCTAGACTCCAAATGTAGGTTCATAAACAATATTGAGAACAAATTATGAAAATCAGTTCTGATTAATTGCCTGTTCCTTTTTATTTCCTCTGAAGGTTAAGATTAGTACAGTGTTTTAGGAAATTTATCTATGGAGGTTGTTAAGATTATGACAAGGACATTATTTCTTGACAGGCCTGAGGTTCCCTTCCACAGAATCAAAGGACTCTTCTCAAAGTCCATTGCTTCTAGCGGCATAACTTGGTAAGTTATCATTATTTTGCTAATTATCTTGTATTGCATCTTCTGGTCACACTAATCACAGATATTTGATGGTTTCTTCAGCTGAGCATCTATTTGCTGTTATCTAGTCCTATCCAATGGCTGACCGGAGCATCAGTCTGCCAGTGACTCCAGATTCAACTGATTCAAGAAGAAGCCCTACTGGAAAGTTTACATCTTCCAAGGACGGAGAAAAGATTGTTCCCAATTACCTGCGAGCTTCTACTGGCTCCTGTCATGATTTCTGCAAATATGGGAAGAAGCATGCTGCTGAGGAGAAGGAAAGGCGCCCATTTCCCAGAAGAGGGATCAAGAAACCTACTGATAGTAACCAACACTCACCCGAGATCCAAATTCAAGTCTTTAGCAAACCTCATACAAAGAAAAACACAGAAGGGCTTTTGCTTTCTAAATCAGCGGACAGCAATAATGATGGCCTAAAGGCTGCTCTATCCACTGCCAGGAAGGCATCGGTCCCAGAGCGGTTAAGACAGTCAGTTGACTCGAAGCTTTCTAGGTTTCATGAGAGCAAGACCTCCCCGGCTGAAAGGTTAACTGGACCATTGGATGGTAAACTTTCCGGGTTGATTGAGACATCCTCCCAAATGGAAAGAACATCATCAGGGGAAAGGAAGAATACTGCTCATCCAACTGCTCTCAGAACTTTACCTGATCCAGAAACCGCCTCGAAGACACTCAAGAAAGGCATGCCATCATCCTCTCTAGCAAAGCTCAAGAGCCCTTCAAATCAAGCTTCACCAAGGGCTAAAGGACTTGCCCTGTCGGAAAAACTCGGTAGTTCTTTCAAGCCTAAATTATCGCTCTCTCCTAATAATGATGCAGCTGGGTTAAGTGCTCAACGAAAAAGCGACATTGGAATAGGACAGAAATCTAGCGTCCTCCCCAAGGTAGCTCTAAGGAAATTACAGGTGTCCCCAAAACCCTTGGTGTCCCCTAGACTTTCTGGGGCAGGATTAAGTGCTCGACGACAAAGTGACATTGGATCAGGACAGAAATCTAGCCTCCTCCCCAAGATATCTCTAAGGAAATTGCAGGTGTCCCCAAAACCCATGTCATCCCCTAGACTTGCTGTATCAGCCAGAGCTTTGGCTTCCCCAAGGGTTTCCTTGTCTCCCAGGTCTTCCCTTGCTGGTGTGGCAGGCCTAAATGCAAAGAGAAATCGGGCTGCAAAAGTTTTATCTGCTAAGAAGAATGACCAACCAAAGAAAGAGGATAAGATTAGGAAGGCAGCAAGTAACTTGCAGCCCAAGATTCAGGACAAGAGTAAGAAGGAGTTGACTAGCAAGCAGAGAACGATAAAGAAAGTGAAGGAAGAGGGCGATGACAAGGTGGAGGAAAAAACTTTGTATGTCATCAAAATGGAAACCGAGGACAAACATATGGAGTCTGACCTGAACGAACGTCTCGACGGCGATACTTCACCTCCTCCAGTTTCATCCCCGAGGCAGTTATCTCTCCCGGGATGTTCTTCAGCATCATCGCGTACTAACAATGAAGAAGAAGAGGGATCCGAGTATAGTTTGACTGATGGTGAAGATGAGTCTTCATATGAATATGACGATGAAACAGAGTCCATGGGAATTGAAGAACAAAATAAATGGAACAGAAGGAAGGCGATGGTTTCCTCTTCTGGAGATATTGATCCACAACCCGTGAAGCTACGTTTCAGGAGGGGGAAAGTGATTGAGATAAAGTCGGAGAACGATGGTCCAAGAAGGCTGAAGTTCAGGAGAAGCAGAGTATTAAGTGAGGGCAAGAATCCGAAGGGTGATGGTCGCGTGAGGTATCAGAGCAGGGGAGAAGGTGATGTTGTTGATGCAAAGAAGAGCGAGGAGAAAGTTGTTTTGAGACATCAAGAAGTGGATGGAAAGAAAGATGCTGGACAAGGAGGGCTGTTCAACAATGTGATTGAGGAAACTGCGAGCAAACTGGCGGAGACGAGGAAGAGCAAGGTGAAGGCCCTGGTGGGTGCTTTCGAAACTGTGATCTCCCTCCAAGATGTGAAGCCCTCTGGAAATGTCATCGTCTCATGACCGTGATGAGTGGATTAATGAAGTCCCCATGTGAACTTTGAATTGGGTTTCTTGCCAATAGAGCACAGATCTGTGTGTGAGTGTGATGAGAGGGTGACATAGATTGTGTGTGATGAGAAGGTGGCTTGATCTTTTTGGTATTTCCAAATTAGTTATTCAGCGATCTGGGTTTGGTTTTGTGTGAAAATAATCGAAGGAAGTAATAAAATGAATCAAATATGAGCTCAGCCACCTTTCTCCGGTTACTGAATAGGCATTAGGCTTGATCTTCAGGTCTTGCAATCTCTTCACAACGTTTAAAGTTCGAAAATGATTTTGGAGACACATCTGGGATGAGAGTTGGAAGCAGTACCATTTGAATGAATTTACCAAACATGTTGATGATGGTTACCCGTTTTCAATCAAATCATTAAGCATGTCAACGACTTCAATCGTCAGGCATGGTAACATGATATTAATGGTCCGTAGGTATTCGGTTACATTTTGCAAGAATTTAACGAGCCAAGCTTTGTATCAGATATCCCCGAAGGGACAAATGGTTATGTTTATTACCGTCAAAGCTCTTCAAACAAGATTTTGAATGAGTTGTTATATGTCTTTGGTAGTTTAGCGGGATACAAAAAACCAAGGTTAAGGATAGATTTTGCTATTTTGCAAATTGCTATAGTTTGGTTGTGCTGAGATTGTCCTTACTCCCGTCTTCTCTAGAAGCAGAGAATCTAAGAACAAGATCCATGTCCAATCAAGCTACGGCAAGTTGGTGCAAGGCAACTCCACCCTCACTAAAATTATATTGAGGTAGACCCAGTTCATTCAAATCAACAAAGTTCCTCTGGCAAAACATCGGACATAATATGAAAAACATCAAGAGAAGGAGATAGAAGAAATTGGACACAATGTACAGCCTCGACAATACATAAACCGAAGAAATTGGTGAAAACCTGCTTAATGCTTTGATAGTTTACTGGATTCAGTGCACATCTTTGAAAGCAATGACCACTAGGTAAAGGCCTACACTATATATCCCAACAAGAATTGCCCACAGCAAACCCTTGGCATGATTTGCCCTCGCGCACCTACTCACTCATCAAGGGGCAACAATAATCCGTCCAGCAACTTGGTCGAGATCCCGCTGTCCATTTGAGGTGATTCTCCTTCCACTGAGAACAAAACAATCAATTCCGACCATCATTAGCAAGCCAGTCAAGAACAAAAAATAGATCAGGAAACTTCGCTACGATAGCAAGAACAGGAAACCCAATACAGGTTTCACAGCAGAGTAGACGTTAACCAACGATGAGAATTTCATGTTCAATGTTAGAAAAGGGTGAACAGAATCTCTCAACTCACCCAGTGGGAACAACTTCTACAATGTTCAACTTCTGCAGTTCACTAAGAATATGTCTGGCGATGGCACCACTGCTTTTGCAGAAATGGGGCGGTCGACTTCCATTCCTTTTGCTTCCACCGTAGATTCTTCGGAAAGCTCCCACGCCCAGGCCTCCCCTCAGGTACACCTTCCTTGCCATTGAGGCTGCAGTCATGATCAAGCTCAAGGTTATAAACAAATAATCAAAGCATCAAGGCTGTAAACTCATACCATGAAATTGCAGAACACAAAAATCAGTGCTAGATGCTTAATTGATACTCACCAGCTCTAATGTAATACCAGTCAGGATCATATGGTGCAAGCTCCTTCAATTTACCAGTCTTGACAATATCTGTCCATGGGGGCAGCTCTATCTGCAATCCAAAGAAGTCATTGGAAAGGATGTAAGACCCCTCACTCAAACCACACAAAGTTGCTCACTGTTGAGGCATCATACAAGTGAAAGATGATGTATAGATTTCACAATTTTATGGCAAAATCAACAAAATGGTGAATCGGATTAATCTCTCCTAAGTACTAAACCAAAAATTCATCCTAAGAAACACCAACACACCTCCAAAATAAAGCTAATCCCTTTCGACACGAATCACAGCTCAATGATCAACAGGAACCACCATAATGAAATATGAAAGCTCCCCAGGTCGCAATGAACACCACTATGCATCTAAAAACGCCTACACTAGCCATGGATCAATGGCAGTTCATCAATGGAACCGACGACAGTGCATCGACGCAAGTGAATTGCTAGGGGCTTGGGAGTACCTTGCCAGACCGCTTGAGGTGAGCGGCATAGGCCTTGACGAACTCGTGAGGAGATACATCCTTCACAGTGCAAGCCTTCATGAGTTCGCCGGGAGTCGCCATTCTTCCTTACCTTCCCTTCCTTGCCCGCGAATCTCTCCGCCGCTGTTGAGTGCGATGCGAGAGAGGTCTGGATTGAGAACAAGTCGTTGCAGAAAATGGCTAGGGTTTTCCTTTCGTGATTATGTTTTGAATTTATATGTTGGACGTATTTATGATTTACTTTGGGCCGGGCCTTCTATATTTCTTTCGATCGGGCTGCCAGTAGCCCATCAGTCGGTTTCTATGCCACTGATGTTGTATTGTTGTATCTTGTATGTCCTGAATTGGGCTGCACATTGGAATATCTACGACCTTATAAACTTAAAATTCTGCAGATAAAATAAATAAAACTAACACTGGTAATTAGAGAACTGAAAAAATGGGTGTATGTATTTACTAGTATGGTATCAGAGGCGACTTTCTAATGTAGTTTATGACGGAAGTTCTTACGGAGATTAGAACATTCTGGTATCCTAATTGTTGCGATGTAAATAGTGACTACGAAAAATGTTCGTTACGATATATTTCAACTTCAAAAACAACGTGGCTTAAGGGAAACATACGGGAGTATATCGAAGTTTATCCGAACACGAATGAGTTGTTCTAACCCAACATTACAATAAGACGGTAAAAAAAGAGTACCATATCACAAAAGAGATATACGTCAAAATACAATGTAAGCCAAAAACGATACAGCAGCCTCTTGCGTTCCCAATACAATGACAATGCAAGAAGCAAAGGGGCAATAATACTTAAACGGGTAAGTAAGAAAGAAAGAATCGTCGAAATTTTCTGTCTCAAATAAAAGCATAATATGATCTGTCTGGTCCAACTTGCCAAAGCATCTCAAATGTTCTTCTCTAAGCCACAGCAGGCAAGTCCTTCAACCACGCATCCAGAGGCTTACCGATCGAGTAGACGATGAAACCGATCTCCCTCAGCTTATCCACATTCACAATGTTCCTCCCGTCGAACACGAAAGCGGGCTTCTGCATGTTGTCGTAGATCCTCTGGAAGTCCAGCTTCTTGAACTCGTCCCACTCGGTCAAAATGCAGAGACCATGAGCATCTTTGGTTGCCTCATAGGCATCCCAGACCACACCGACTTGCTTCACAGTAGTCGGGCTCATGGGCTGGAGGTGGAGAGGGTGGTCCCAGTCGAACTTTTTCATGGAGAGGTCCCTCTGAATCTGGTCCTCGGTCACCTGGGGATCGTAGATGCTCAACCGGGCCTTATCGCCCAAAAGCCCCTTGCATACATCAATCGCCGGGGTCTCCCTAGTATCACCGGTATCCTTCTTGAATGCAAAGCCCAAAATGGCAATCTTCTTGGTCGCCACGGTGTTGAACATGGATGAAACGAGACGGTTCACGAATCGGTTCTTCTGGTAGTCATTGATCTTGATGACTTGCTTCCAGTATTCAGCCACCTCGGGGAGACCATTGCACTCACAGATGTAGACCAGGTTCAGAATATCCTTCTGGAAGCAGGACCCACCAAAGCCGACACTGGCGTTCAAGAACTTGGGGCCGATTCTCGAGTCCTTGCCAACAGCAAATGACACTTGAGTGACATCAGCACCAGTTGCCTCACACAAAGCTGACATGGCATTCACCGAAGAGATTCTCTGAGCCAGGAAGGCATTGGCAGCAAGCTTGGAGAGCTCAGCAGACCATAGGTTGGTGGTCAAGATTTGATCTTCAGGGACCCAGTGAGCATAGACCTCCTTCAATGTCTGAATTGCCTTCTGGCCCTCGGGGGTTTCCCTTCCTCCAATGAGAACCCTATCAGGGTTGAACAAGTCTTTGATGGCTGTTCCTTCAGCAAGGAACTCAGGGTTTGAGAGGATCTGGAACTTGATCCCCTTGCTGTTGTGGGTCAAGATCTTCTCAATTGCCTCTGCAGTCTTCACAGGAACAGTTGACTTCTCCACAACAATTTTGTCCGATTTGGAGACATCAGCGATCATACGTGCAGCACTCTCCCAGTAAGTGAGGTCTGCTGCTTTCCCAGCACCAAGACCCCGAGTCTTGGTCGGGGTGTTGACCGAGACGAAAACAATGTCTGCCTCGAAGACGTGCTTCTCCACATCGGTGCTGAAGAACAGGTTTCTCCCTCTGCACTCCTTGACAACATCCTCGAGGCCTGGCTCGTAGATGGGTAGCTGGTCACTGTTCCAGGCATTGATCCTGGGGACAGAGATGTCGACAACTGCAACCTCAATTTTGGGGCACTTGAGTGCAATCACAGCCATGGTTGGCCCACCGACGTAGCCGGCACCAATGCAACAGATCTTCACCATTTTGTCTTTCCTGAGATGAAATACGGCAACGCCATATTAGAATACCGAAATCAAAAGGCACATGCAAAGAACTCAAATTTCTGATCCCAAACCCCCCACCCCCAACCTTCTCCTGATCTATAATTTACCAGACTAATGTAACAGACACCATTAATTTAAAGCACAAGACTTGTTGCACGGTGCTTTGGTGCCTAAGATCTAATCACTTGCATAGAGATAGACCAACTGTTTGCAACGAATTCAGCATTTCTTAAGGATCCAGTAAATGAATTTCCACAAATTATGTAAACAGATCTAGGGAGCGTACATCACGCCATTGCCAAGCCACATGGATCTCGAAAGCTAAAAGTGCAAATCACAGGCTGATATGCACGTTCGAGCCAATAGGGGGGAAGAGCGTATGAAGTAATCACGAACAATACGGTCACATATCACAACTGAATCCACCCCAATAGTCCCTAATAGTCTATAGCTACATCTCGTTCCAAATCAATTCAAATCTAGCGATTTCCATAGTCAAGAGAGAAAGCAAGCAACTGAACCGAATTCACAAATCGGCAGGCAAACCAAGCTCACAGATCTCGCAATTCAAACGATTCAGCTAGAGTATGGAACATTAGATCGAAGAGCCTAACTGACTGAGCTCGAATAGAGGAAGATAGATAACAGAGAATCAAACACTATAGTCGTGGGGGGCAGATCGGTAATGCATAGAGTCAATGGATCTACGCATAGAATTTCAGAAATCGGAAGGAAGAGATGAAGAAACGACAATGGAAATCGGAAGCAAAATGGGAAGCGGAAAGAGTGAGATCGGGATTCTTGCGCGTACCTTGGCAGTCGGTGGAGGGAATCTAGAGAGAGAGAAGAAGAAAGGAAATGGGTGCGTTGGTGGTGGACGAGAGAGAAGGGGAGGAGGGTTTATATACAGGAGAATGGAAGAAGAGCGCCAGCAAGTCAGCAACGAAAGAGGCGGGGAGGAGAAGAGATCTGCCACTGCGTGTAAAATGGTGTGGCCCCTCCCCTAATCGAGGGTAATTAGCATAAATTGTCACAAATTTTTGTCATTAACATATAACGGTCACAAATTAAATAGAAGTGACCATTTCATACACTTTCAAACTTTTGTTATTATATCGTTATAAATTAGTGATCGTTTTGTATTAAGTGCAAAAATTTGTTATCGAGTCGTTACAAATTAATAGTATGTGACCGTTTTGAAGTCGGATCGTGTGTTCGTCAAGTATATGACACTAACCATTTGAACGATATATGAGATGTCGGGTCGTGTGTTCATCTATATACTTGCCTTGCCGAATAAAAATGATCTATGTGTACATTTCAATTTCGATAACAAGGAAGTAAGAAAGAAGGGCGAGTTTTTTTCAACTAAAATGCAGCATGTAACCCGTTTGTGAGGCATTGAATTCCCTCGCTATCATCCCCTTGTTTTTTTTTACGAGTATTGTCATCCTTTTGTTATGATCATATCATTCACATAAATTAACAAAGCTATCATACCTTGACTAGAACGAATTGTATCAGTGACTGATCGTTCAAACTTTTTGAACATTATATAAAATGATCACCAAAAATTTAATTTATATCGACCGGAAAATCAAAGTTTGAAATTATATTAAATGATCCCTCTATTTAATTTGTGATATAATTTTTTCTTACTAACTATTGATAATCAACTCGTAGTTGGGGGTTAGAGTGTCTATGTTTGGCCCGGCTTTTAGAAGTGCTTTTCGGCTTCAAAAGCTTAAGCAGGGCCAAACACCTCTAAAAGCTCGGCTTTTGAAAAGCCGAAAAGCGCTTTTGTATAACATAAAAGCAGAAGCTCCGATTTGGAGCTTCTGCGAAAAGCTGTTTTGAAAATACAAGATTATCCTTACCATATTTTAATTTTATTTCATAAAATATAATTTTCCTTCATTTATATCATTTTAAAAATAAAATAAATTATAAAATCATATTATTTAATATAAAAGAAATCTAACAAGATCCATTTTGACTACTTTTTATTGTTTCGAATTTTTATTTATATTTTATATTATAAGTCCTTTATAGTCATTTTACACAACCGCTCATATTAAAAAGCACTTCTAATAGTTTTACAGCCAAACACTAAACTGCTTTTTTTGAAAAGTACTTATCTAAAAGCTCCAGCCAGAAGCTGCTTCTGCAAAAGCTACAGCAGGGCCAAACTAAGCTAGTGTAGAGTCAGAGAGGTTGTTGACGTGGACTCGTCAATCTTCTTTCTTTCGTTTGAATATTATTTGCTAACCCTGCAGTTGGCAGAAGCCAGAAGGTGGTGGTGGAGTGGAATTGCGGGAAGTTAGTTGATGAGGGAGAAAACCGCAAAGGAAGAAAAGGGTAGAATTGTAGAAAGGAGTATTGAACATGAAACCGTACCGTATCAGCGGTACAATCACAAAATATCAGTAGTATCAGAGAGATTAAATTACTAGACGGTATTTAACGGTATTAATAGTTGAACTACAGTTAAACCATAATTTTATCATAAAATATTCTATCGCTGATCCAGTACAATTTACTGTAGGATTTCATGGACCATGAAAAGGAGTAGGATCGCAAAAAGGCGGTACCGGCTTTAAGTT